CCGGGGCCGCCGCTGCCTGCCCGCTCCCGGGGGGGGGGCGCGGGCAGCGAGCGGCAGGGCCTTCTGCACGGCGGCCCCCGCGGCGCGCGAAGCCCCCCGGCGGGCCCCGCCTGCCGCCGGTTGCCGTGCCTTTTCGGCGCCCAGTTGACGGGGCCCCGCACGGCGGGTCGCTGGATCAGCCCTGCATAGTCCATTGAAGGATTGCACCAGCTATCGAAAAAGCCTTTTGACTTAGATTCTGTAGCATCATTCTATGTTTTTGCTATTATTTCTATTTTTATACTGAATTTCTATTGTTGTTTAAGAGCTGCTCTAACCTGCCCCCCCAGCGATTGGGCACTATAGAAATAAAATAATAATTATATAATAATAGTTTATTACATATCCTTATGCCCAGTAGCCAAAGCTCTCTATTCATGTATTGTTAAACAATGCATTGTAAACATTTGGAAAGATAATGTTCAACTGATATTGATAAAAAACAGCCATTTTTAGGGAGAAAGAAGATGGTTAAAAAAAGTAATTAGTTATTCATAAATGTTTTGTAACCCACCTATTCTGCTGTCTAAGGACCCACTACAAAAGGCTGTTTTGTGTCAGGGAAAGTGCTCGGCAAACAGGAGAGTGAGAAAATACTACGCATTCACCAGCAGGAAACCAATCTTTGGTCCGTTTGCTGCTTCAGAAAATGTCTGATCATTAACTCCTATTGAGCAATACTAAGCATCAGCTCTGACCCTGCACTTGGGACACAGAGGGAAGGCTCCCTTCTCTTCCAGCAGGTGGAAGGCCAGCAGAAGCAGGTGGGGCTCCCAGACCAGAAATACTTATTTCCTGCTAGGAGGAAATAGTCAACAGCCTGGACCGTGATGGGAAGACCTGGCAGAGTGGCTTGGCTTTCTAGGGAAGCCCCTTCTGGTTTGGATCGTGACCAACCCAGATAGACAGGTGGATTGTGGAAAGGGCTGAGAACTATACATACCTAAAAAAAAAAGAAAAATCTTGCATGATGTTCCTAAGGCGCCTGCGGCTCAAGAAATGCCAAAGCTACTTGCGTGTAGGAGAAAGTAGGACGTGGGTGTTCCATGGATCTGATCGCTTTCTTGCTCAGTAATCTGAATGTCTGTGGACATTCTGTAACATCCCTGGAACTGTTGAGTGAAGCGCGTTTATTCAGCGACTGCTGGTTTCAAGCCTGGTTATTGTCTTTCCTCAACAGCTGAAGTCTTTTGACCTGGCCGTGGATGTTGGCTGTGGTTCCGGTCAAAGCAGCTGCTTGCTGGCACAGCGCTTTGAGGTGGTGGTTGGAACAGACATAAGCGCCGCGCAAATTGAGGAAGCCAAGCGAGCCGCACACCCTGCAAATGTCTCTTACGTGTGAGTAAACGCATGCCCAGTCCTTTCTGATGTGCTGTCAGGATCATCCTTCCTGAATCGCCAGGCCTGAAGCGATGCCAGGTGAAGCCTGACTTGCGCAGAATCGAGTCCAGCTATTACTTCCTGTGGATCGGAAGCTCCATTTCCCTTTGGACGGCCTAAAATCACACGAACTGACAGCTTGTCCAGAGAATCCCAGGCCAACATTCTATTAAAGAAGCCACTTTTGTTTGGGAAATGGCCAGACAGGCACTAAGTGGAAATCCCCAGATGCATTCGCTGTTTTGTTCCATGCAAGCATGTATTCCGGGGAGAATTTGTGCCTTTCTCTGGAGCTTGGAGAATAATGGGGCTTTTCCAAATCCTGGGCAGTCCTAGTTCCCCTTCACTCAGCACTGGTTAGGTCCCATCTGGAGTCCTGTGCCCAGTTCTGGGCACCAGTTTAAGAAAGATGCAGGCAAACTAGAAAAGGTTCAGAGTGGGCAGCAGGGATGGAAAGGCCTGGGCATGTTTAGCCTCGGGAAGAGAAGCCTGAAAGGAGACAGGAGAGGAGAGGAGAGGACTCTTCGAGTACAGGGAAAGCTGTCACCAAGAGGAAGGCCAGGATCTCTTCTTCATCATCAAGACATGGAATAATGCGCTTGTGACAGGAAGCCAGGTTCCTGCAAGATCAGGAAAATTTTCCTGACTTTTGGAGCACTGTGGGAATGGAACCAAAGACCTGGGGAGGTGGTGGGCTCGCCCATGCTAGAGGCATCCAAGATGCAACTGGGCAGCCATCTGAGAGGGATGGTTTAGCACGGAGCAGGGGGCTGGACCCGATGGCCCCCCGGCCCCTTCCAGCTCTGCAGTGCATGATTTTGCACCGATTTTGGAAAGACTTCAAAGGAGGATGGGGGGTCTCTAAGAGGGAGGTGGGGCACTGCCCCCCGCAAGTGTTGCTACACTTCGGAAGAGCACAGAGCATATCCAGTCACAGACGAGAACTTGCTATCCAGAGCCACGGACGAGCAGAGCAGAAACTACCTCTCAAGCCAGGCCAGCCTGAATTTGGGTTGGGTTGGGTTGTCTGTGGCGAACAGGTGGGTGTGGAGCACAGGAACGCTGGCGAATGTCATCACAGGATGGTTTGGGAAAGCAAATGCCGTCCAGGTTGATAGCTGTGCTTCTGCGCACTCAGGGTGTGTCCTGCGGAAGAGCTCCCCGTGGAGGATCACTCCGTGGATCTGATCACGGCCTTTACTGCGGCCCACTGGTTTGACATTCCGCGCTTCATGAAGGAGGTGGAGCGAGTTCTCAAACCGGCGGGCTGTGTGGCTCTCAGCACCAACACCCTTGACATGCGGCTCCACTACAAGGACTGTACGGAAGAGCTAACGGAGGTCCTAAAGGAGGTGAGTCCCCCAAGCGCCTTCCCCACCCAGGATCCAGCATTGCCTCCCTCAGCGTCCAGACATGCACGTGGTGGGCATGTCGTGAGCGGAGCTGGCTGGAAACGGGGGGCAGGCTAGATGGCCCGGGAGGCGCCTTCTGACTCGCTCTGTTTCTAATTCCTTCATGGTATTCCTGGCCACAGCTTCAGGGAGATACAAGTATCTGATGAAAGGTATTTTCCTTGATGGCCCTTTTTTCTTTGGATGGAGCACCTTGCTAAACGCCAAAGCCCAGTGCTTAAATGGGATCACCTGGGTCATGAGCTTTGCGAAAACCTCTGTTTGGCCACAGACGGAAATGGGATACTGGCTTCGATGGTCCTTTGGAGGGCTCGGTCATCATATTAAATGTGCAAACAGAATGTCCACTAATTGCACGTCCAGTTTATAAATATTATAACTTCATGAATCCATGCATTTTAAAAAGTTTCCATGCGTTGAAAACATTTAAAGGCTCAAAGACCTTTGCAAATGTGGTCGAATGAATTCTTAGCCAAACATAGCGTTCAAGAAGGCGTGTTTTCAATGCTGCCTGAAAACAGTGGAGACCAAGTGCGTTTGTCCCTTGCTGACAATTCCTCTGGGCATCTCACTCCTCTCCCCACAAACTTCCTTTCTGCAGGTTCAAGAAAAGCTTTTCCCCTATGCAAATGAGAAGGTCCAGTTTGTTGTGAGTGACTACAAAGAAATATTTGATTCCCTGCCCTTCAGGGATAAGGAGAGGTAAGCAGATCCTGCCCTTCTGTGTGACTTGAAGGCCTTTGGTTAAAATCTGCAAGAAGCTACGATGGCGCTTGGACTTCATGTGTACAGCTCTAGTTTATAGCTGCAGCCTTATGTCCACGTCTCTGGCAGTGTTCCATTGAATTCAATGGGGTTTCCTGCTGAACCGGCATGGATAGGATGGAACAGCATGGATAGTGGGGTAAGCCTATTGCGATGATTCTAAGTCCCCAAACTTGGAAGCTTACTGTGATCCCAGGAAGAGCAGGAGGACTGGATCTTTGCATCCCTGTTTTCCTCTTTTGCATATTTGGGGTCTTTTGGAAAGAAGCTGGAGAAGTGTCGGCATTAAGTCCCTTCCTCGTTCCCCGAAATGCCCCCATTAAGTTGCTTTCCCTGCCCCGGAGAGCAGATGACACAGCGAGAAGAAGGGTCAGACATTAACTGGCTGTGGGATTGTTACTGCCGACTCAGAAAACCATTGAATTCAGAGCTTGCATGTAAACAGATCCACAGGATCAGGACCATTCTGTTAATCCACAGGGGGCACGGCACTGAGTTCTTCACGGAGCCCCTGTGTCTTTTTTTTTCTTTCCAGGATCCTGGATATAGTTGATAAAATCCCCTTCAGCGTTGCTGATCTGATGGGGTACATCCAGTCATTCTCCATGTACCAAACCTTTCTAGAACTCCAGCCTGAGGCAGCGAAATCTCTCCTCCAAAACACGGAACGAAGGTAATCTTCCCCTTGCCCTCCAGTTTAAGAAATTAAGTCTAATGGGGCACAGTTGAAGAAAAGGGTTTTAGTTTATTTATACCCAAAGGCACAGGCTAATTCCTGGTTGAAAATCCACAGCAAATTGTATATTCAGCCTTGTAAAAAATGTGATTAAATGTGGTTTAAAAAAAGCAGCACACAGTCTGATGAAAACAGCTGTCCTAGGAAAATACCGTAAACCCTTTAGGGCAAAGCATTCTATAGCTTCTGAAAACCCTTCTGGATGCCTCCCATATGAGCAAGCCAGTCTCAGGAGCACTACCGAGAAGATGAGCAAGTCTCATACAAAGTCTTGTTAACCTTTGCAACTCACCTCCATGTGATTCCCCTCTTTTTTATTTCTACAACACCCAACAACCAGTGCTCTTTGCCTCCTAAAATAAAATCCAGATTAAAATTCAGATAACAAAAACATAATAAAATTTCACTACCAAATTTGACATCCAAATTTAACAACTTAATCACAAAAACAAATCTGAGTTATTTATTATATTTATATCCCTCCTTTTTTCCTTTCAAGGAACACAAGGCATCTTACGTAATTCTCTTCCTCTCAGTCTCATCCTCACAACAGCCCTGTGAGGCAGGCTGGGCTGAGAGTCTGTGGCTGGCCCTAGTTCACCCAGTGAGCCCCACGGCATAGTGAGGACTCAAACCCAGATCCCTGAGTCCCAATTCCACACTCTTAACCACAGCTGACAAAATGTTCCCTTGTACTGTTTAAAGCTGTTAAATACCTTGGTGTAGAAGGAAGCATCAACCAGTGGCGAACTTGTTCTAGAAGCGGGGGCTACCACGGAGAAAGTCTTGCTTCTTGTTGCCACCAATGGAAACTCCTCCGAGGTTGCTTGCGTTGTCCAGGCAGCCGCTCTTGGGAGAAGTGTTTCATCAAGCATTTGGGTTAAGCTTCCTTATTCAGGGACAGTATAGCTTGATAACCTGATACTGAGCAACCATTCAGACATCCAAATGACTTAAAGAACTGAGCTAGGAAGCTTTGGCATAGTAATTCATTTTTTTCAGCTGAGCAACAGTTTCTTCTCTAAACTTCTCCCCAGGATCCTGGAAGTGATGGGTGTTTCCTCCCTTGAAACTCAGCTGGAGCTTTGGATTCGCCAAGTTTGCGTTCTGGGTTGTAGGAGCTCTTAAAAAGCACGTGGGCCTTGACTGGGAATGTGCTGACCCTCGGAAACAGTGCCCTGTTTTAACGCAGTGCTGCAGTCGACAGATGGAAACGGCCCGTGAATTTCAAGAAGACTCGGAAGTGGTCACCAGATCCCATCAGAGGGCCAGAAGCAGGGATGACGATAAAGCGAATTCCCTGGTTTGAAATAAAAAGGACAGAGCCAGGTGGAGAATAGAGAAAAGAGCATTGGATTTAATGCCTGCCGTTAGGTAGTGATGCGTTCCTGTAGCCCCACTGGAGTGACTCCTTTTCCCTTGAAATTCACAGAAAATAAGTCCAAAGGCTCGTCTGGTTTGGCTTTATTAGTCCCGGGAGGCAGGTACCTCCGGGACACCCACAAGCCAAGCGAGCTTCTGCCTGGGGTCCCTCGGTTAGGCTCCTTTCCAAGACATGCTCAAGGCGCTGGTAGCAAAGCGGAAGGCTTCCAGGCCCATGCACCGTGGCAGGAGGAAATCCAGGGGAACAGAGCAGCACTTACCTCTGGATAAGAGGCTGAAGATGGGCACTGCGTGATTACGTTGATCCTCAGCACTGTGAGAATTGTTATCTACACAGCAATGAATCTTTGAAATAAAATTAAAATTTAGCCAATGAAACCCAATCTATACTTGCTAGTGGCGAAGTCGTGTCCGACCCGTCGCGACCCCACGGACAACACTCCCCCAGGCCCTCCTGTCCTCCACATCCCCCGGAGTCCACCCAAGCCCACACCCACCACCCGAGTGACCCCGTCCAGCCACCTCATCCTCTGCCGTCCCCTTCTTTTGCCGTAACTTGTTCCCAGCAGCAGGCTCTTCTCCAGGGAGTCCTTCCTTCTCATTAGGTGGCCAAAGCATTTGAGTTTCATCTTCAGGATCTGGCCTTCCAAAGAGCAGTCAGAGTTGATCTCCTCTAGGACTGACCGGTTGGATCTACCATGTTCTCAAAAAAAGTAGGGTTTTCTTGGTCACATCCCGGTTTTTATAACAGGGATCATGGGCTAAGCATTCCCTGCTCCCAATTACTACACTGTGTGCTGCTCCAGATGGGTATCAATTTCTAACAGCTGGGGCTGCAAAGCCGGGGGGCGGGGGGAGGCGCTTTCTCCTTTGGATCCAGCTATTGTAAAAATAGCATTTCTGCCTGCTCACAAGATTAGAATCCCCTGCTGCAGGGGATCCTTCCAAGGCGAAAGGGGAGGCATTTCTTTACGTCTGGCTCATGTCTGAATCGTAATGGGCAGGGACCCAAGAGAGGACTTTCCTGGTGGTTGTTCCCAGGCATGTCTGGCCCATACAGTGTGTCTCTGATGAGCTGCTGCTTTCAGGCAAAGGCTTCTTGATTCAGAAAGTAGATGGATACTCTGAACTACCTTGCAAGGGTGATGTCTTCCTCTCTTAGTGCCAGTGTGTCTGTTCCCTCACAATAAGGGAACATTATAATAATATAAGGAATAATATATAATATAATATAATATAAACGTGAGGAAATAAGGGAATATGCCGGACTACAACACAGGGTTGTTGTGCACGCACCTGAGCCGTGGCTGAGAGTGGCTCGTGAGAACCCTTCAGTGCCGTCCGCGGTTCATGCTGCAGGAAAGAGTGAAGCTGCTTTGGAAAGCTGGCTGGATTCGCTGGAAGCAGCGGCCCCCCTTTCTCCTGCCTAAACTGTCGCGGGTGCCACCTTAGCCTTCCGTGCATGCAACGACACGTGGAAGGAAACTTCCCTTTGCATGTTGCAGCTCCCCTTTGAAGCTGCAGCTCAAATCCTGAAGGAGCCCTTGCTTTCGAAGGACAGCTTTTCCGTTTGCACAAGAAATAGAACAGATTTAGACCCTGAAGTTCTACGATTGTGTCACTCTAAGTTTTTGCTTCTATGGTGGCATCGAAATGAAAGGGGGAGCGGAAGGTGTTCGCGAATAAGCCATCGGCAAGCCCGGGAGACAGCGGCCAATAAACGGTCCGAAGGGGGCTCGATCACGTGGTGCCCTTCGTTGCTCCGTCAAAGACATCTTGGCCGCTGGCAGAGGGCCGCGAGCCGGCCGGCCAATGAGCCATCCTGGCGCTCTCTCACGTGGGCCCTCGCGTCACCTGGGGCGTCGCAGCCTCAGCGCCTCCCTCCTCGCGCTGGCCAAGACGCGCCTCATGCGGCGCGGGGCGCTGTACGCCTTGGCTCTGGGCTGGGCGGCCGCCTGGCTGTGGGGTCGCGGGTTCGATCCCCGGCCGTGGCTCTGGTGGACTCGCGATGCGGCGCCGGTGCTGAGCGCCGCCGAGCTGGGGCGCTGCACGGGGGCGGAGGGAAGCGCCGGGCTGTACCTGGCTGTGCTGGGGCAGGTCTTCGACGTGCAGCGGGGACGCAGGCACTACGGGCCCGGGGGGGCGTACAGCTTCTTCGCAGGTAGCCCGGGCCGCCGCCCTGCACGCCCCCCCGCGCCTCCCCCGCGCTCTGTTGGGTGCTGGCCATGCAAATAGGTGTGAGGGGATGCGCATCTTGGAAAGTGCCCTGCTGGTCATCCCAGCAATGTGCTTCCAAGGGTGGCCAGCCAGGACAAAATACCCGGGTCCAAATTTCTAACCTTAGCTTTCCCCGAGAGAGCACTGTGTCTATCTGCAACCTCCACATTTCTTCTAAAAATAGAAAGCAGCAAAATTTTCTTTGCTCACGGTTTCTTACCATGCTCCAAGACCAACTACTGATACAGGTAGTTGAATGCATAAGGAATGCGACTCGTGGAGACACCTAATTGCAGAAGATCATTTCTTGCTCGGGCAGGATAAGCAGCTAATAAAAAAAAATGAAATACAGAGATGTTAATGCTGCTGCATGTTTAAATCTTCAGAATCCTAATTGTTATTTATTTTGCCTTAAAAGACAAGTTTCTAGGCCTGGTGACTACTAGCATGGGTGCCACACATTTAGTAACTTCTCTAGGGCCTCTTTGTGAGTGTTGGGTGCCATCATTGGACTGGAGGTGGTGACGCTGTAACTTTCCGCACTTGGCTGATGGCTTGCCGGAATTTTAAAGATGACCACCAATCTGGATGGCTTTAAAAGGGAATTGGAGGGCTATCAGTGGCTGCTAGTCCTCATGGTTATATTCAGCTTCCAGTATCAAGGATAGGACGCTTTTGTTACACCAGTTCCTGGGAAAGATTGGTGAACTGGTACTGTGGTACTCGTGTCCTGCCTGTGGGATCCAGCGGGCAGTGGGCAGCTGTGCTTCTGTAATGTTCTTGTACTTCTTCCCCAGGGAAAGATGCAACCAGGGCTTTTGCAACTGGCGACTTCACCCCAGAGGGGCTGGTGGATGATGTTTTGGGATTATCGCCATCGGAAATGCTAACCATCCAGAACTGGCTTTCCTTCTACAACAAGAATTATGTGCCGATCGGTATGTGAGTAACAGCCAGATCCAGGCTGCGTGCAGTAGCAGGGCCTGCACATGCTGGCTATCCTCAGGGGTATGTCTTGGCAGTCCCTGCTTTTATTCCCCTGTCCTTGGGGCTGGGTGTGGGAAGTAGGGCTTTCTATCTGAAGGACTGCAATGCCCATCAGCCTTCATTCACTCTGCTGCCTAGGGCTGATGGGACTTTTGTTCAAAGTATCAGGATAAAAGCAGGTTGCTCACCTGTAACTGTTGTTCTTCGAGGAATCTCTGTGCATCACACACAAGCTTACCTTTCCAAAGGGGGTGAGTGTCATTACCAGAGGGCGGAAGAGAGGACTGCTCTTCTGAAAGTGTGGACACTGAGCCAGGGGTGCACTGTGAAGGTTGATGGGGTGGACCGGGTGGCGGAGGAATTCCAGCCAGGTGTAGAAGCAGAGTACAGGAGACGTTGAGTAATTTCTGGTCATCTCGGCCTGGTGGGAAAGTAACCAAGTACGTGTTGAGAATGACAATTACTACCCATTCCTGAGAAGACTCAAGATGTGGTAAATCACATCTACCTGTGATAACTCATGATATAGTCTCTGCACATATCTCACATTTTGCTTTGATACAAGCTGGAGTCTGTGCAATTTGTAAGTAACATCAAAGCATGCAGATGGGTGCATGTTAACGGGCACATCGGTGATCACTACAGTTTGCTTCCCATAGTCATTGGTTAGGTTTGAGTTCCCCATGCATAGCCGAAGGAATGTTATTTTGGGGGAGACACACTTGGCGCTGCTCGGAGACAATTTGTAGTTTCAGTTCTCGTGCCTGCAATTGCTGGTGTACGGGCTTTATTAAACCTACTTCCTTGGGTAAGTGCAAACGCAGGGAAGCTTTGTTCCTTCCATAATGGAGAGTGGTGGAAGCTGCTGTTGTCCGAGCTGAGTGGGCCTTCGGTGGTCCCGAGATCTGCAGGCCAGGAAGCTCCCGCCCTCTTTGCCAGCGTCTTGGCCTTGGACCCTTCAGGGCAGGGGTCTCAAACTCAACTTACCTGGGGGCCTCTGGAAGTAGAGTCGGGGCGAGGCTGGGCCACATCAAGTATTCCCCCACCGTGGTGGTGGTGGGCCGCTCATCCCCGGCGCTTTGAAGGCCGCAGGGCCCTTCCCCCGTGCCCCGCCTGTCCCGGCAACTGGCCCGCGGGCCGCGAGTTTGAGACCCCTGCTTCAGGGGGTGTCCAGGTGTTGGCAGTGTGGTGTGGCCTGTGATGATGATGATGATGATGATGATGATTATAACACACGGCCAAAGCAAACAGAGTAGGAGGTGAGGCCCCAAGGTGGATGGGAGCTCCCACACCACAGACCTGGAGCACCTTGGTCCACAGCTCTGCGCTTAGGTGGCCTGCTTTGTGAGTGCAGGCAGGAATCCGCAATGCGTCGCTCTCCTGAGTGGAAAGTCAGAGGAGGTGTCTGCCCAGGGGGAGTTCGCTGCCACACGGGGCACACCTTCCAGTGTGCGCCCTGAATGCCGTTGGTTGAGTAGAAAGGGAGGAGGAGGAGAACTGCAGGAAAGTCAAGGAAGGATTAATTCTCATTTTGAAAAAAGGGGAAACGGGTTATTAAAGGAAAGAATAAGGAAGAGTTGGAAGGCAGAGGAATAGATCCAAGAAGTTAGGAAATGCTGAGGATCGTAAGGACGGACTTTTCCAGGCACCACGATGGTCTCAAGTGAATGGGTGGGAAGCCCTCCTGGTCTACCAATGCCGAGAGTCTGGAGAAGGGCTTCCCTTCAGGACCCTCTCCATTGTGACAACTTCCTGCCGATGAGCTCCATGTGGGCAGAGCGCCAATACACAGAACCTAAGTGGCTCCTCCCTGGCTAAAAAAGCTGGTTTGCTAAATTCTGACAAGAAAAATCACCCATACGAGAGAGATGTTGAAGGATCAGTTGCACAGGCTGCAGCAGAAAATCTGGCCTCAACTTCTTAGGAGTCAAAGCAAGCAGATTGCTGGAATTTTTTGCAGATTTGCTTATTGCTTCTTTGCCTGAATGTTCATTGAAGTTTTAGTGCTAATTTTGAAAAGGTTCATTTTCCCATCGTAAAAGAGGTGGCAGTGCTTGGCAAAACCATGGCACAAGTACTAGAGTGTCTACATTTGAATGTAGTGATGTGGAAAGTATCATGCATCACGTAGGTCTGATCTCAGGCTGGTATCTGAAGAAGCAGGTTAGCAACCAGCCAGAATGCAAATGAAGTTGTACTTGAAAGTAGCTATAGTTTAGGAAGCTTAACTGTGGTGGGGCATGATGTTACAGCCAAGAAACCATGGCTTGGTGGTGGGCCAGCAAACCGGAACTGGAAACCATGGTTGGAAGTGGGTTTGCATGGAATTCATAGCTTGGAGGATCCATACTTAGGAACACTGCTCGGCCTCAAGACCACTGCAGTGTGGGAAAGGAATTAACTTGTAGAGCTGAGAGTATGAGAAATGAAAGCAGGCAAGCAGGTCGAACCGTGGTTTGCCAGGTGTGTCTTGGCTTGATGTCAGAACTGAGCCGCTGTAGCCTACAAATCTGAATGGTCTTGCAACTGACTTAATTCTTAACGTCCTTCCACCAAGGGACAGACAAATTTGAAGCTGGGCGAATAGGAAATACATGTTTTAGGCTGTGTTGCCCCTGGATTGGAAAGACGGCTGGCATTTGACAGCAAGTCAGCCTTGAAGGAAGGTTGGGGGGCCAATCTGGGGAGAGGCTACACAATGACAGCTGTCTATTCTCTACTCTTAACAAAGGCAAAGTGGCCGGGCGCTTCTACCACCAGAACGGGGAACCTACGGAGATGCTGAAGCAGGCGAACGCTCTCATCCGAGAAGGGCAGCGGCTGCAGGCCCAGGCCCAGGCGAAGAAGCAGCGATTCCCGCCTTGCAACTCAGAATGGAGCTCCTCCGGAGGGAGCCGGGTCTGGTGCTCCAAGCAGAGGTACAGCAGCTGGCTGGGTCCTTGGAGGTCACGGCCAGGTTTGCAGTAGGGTGACAAGACTGTGCTCGGCAGTTGTCTTGGTGCAGGAGGTCAGGTGAGCAGTGCCGGCCCAAGCATTACAGTGAGTGCGGCATCGTCTCAGGAAGGGATGGAGTCCTGAAGGAGAAAGCTTCGGCCTGCCCCACGCTCCCTACGCTCGGCTTGAGGTGGAGGATCCCCTCCCGCCCGTGTTGAAGAAAGTTTAAACTACCAGTCTAGGCGACTTTTGCACGTGGATTGGGAAGGGCTGCCCTGCCTGATCAGGCAGCAAAATCACACCCAGTTGAAGGTGCTAGAGCGGGTGGTGGCGGGACAACTCCAAGCACTCTTGGATGAAACTGATTATCTGGACCCATTTCAGTCCGGCTTCAGTACTGAATCTGCCTTGGTCGCCCTGTACGATGACCTGTGCAGGGAGGAGGACAGGGGGAGTGCATCCCTGTTGGTTCTCCTGGACCTCTCAGCGGCTTTCGATACCATCGACCATGGTATCCTTCTGGATAGGCTAGCGGGCTTGGGGGTCGGAGGCACTGCTTTGCAGTGCTTCCGCTCCTATCTCAACGGCCGATTTCAGAAGGTGGTGCTGGGGACGATGGCTCTGCACCATGGCAGTTATGCCATGGAGTTCCGCAGGGCTCCATTTTGTCCCCTTTGCTGTTCAACATCTACATGAAACCGCTGGGAGAGGTCATCAGGAGGTGTGGGCTGCGGAATCATCAGTACGCTGATGATACCCAGCTCTACCTCTCGTTTTCCACCAATCCAGGTGAGGCAGTGGCTGTGCTGAACCGGTGCCTGGCCGAGGTAATGGGCTGGATGAGGGCCAATAAACTGAAGCTCAATCCAGACAAGACGGAGGTCCTGTTGGTAGGCGGGTCAGGCTTCAGGGTGGGGGACCTTGACCTTGTCCTGAATGGGGTTGCACTCCCTCTTAAGGACAGGGTCCGCAGCTTGGGAGTGCTCCTCGACCATGAGCTGTCATTAGCAGCTCAGGTGACGGCGTTGGTTATTTGTTTTTCGGCGCCAGGCCAAGACCTTTTTATTTAGAAGTTATTTTAATTGTTAACTTTTGAATTGTATTTATGGGATTTTTAGGTATATGCTGAAATGCTTCTGGTTTTTTAACTCTAATTGTACAAATTGTTTATTTGTTGTTGTAAGCTGCCCCGAGGCTTTTTGCGAATGGGGAGGCATAAAAATGGTTTAAATAAATAAATAAGGCTGTTTACACTTCCTGGCGAGCAACATTTGGGAAGGCCTTGCGTACCTTTCAAACAGTTCTTTGCATAAAGACTAGAACCTTTTTATGAATACATGAGCTAAGAAATCTGAGCAGAATACTAGAGTTGTACACACAGTAAAACTGATGGGGATAGATCCTAGGGCAGACAAAATCAGAGAAGTGTCGATTCACAAAAGATATAATGGAATCTCTGGAATTCACTGCTGCAGGATCTAGCCAAGGGCTCGAGTTGCCAACGCAAGACCAGAATTAGTCAGAAAAGACGTGCACCATTTGTGTGGCTTTCCTTTTTTTTTTTTCGTCTCTGCAGCGGGGGAGTTAGCAGAGACTGGAGCGGTGTGCCCAGGAAGCTGTATGAGCCTGGATCCGGGCACGGCCACTGCGTATGTGTGAAGACGGAAACGCTGCCTCTTGCCTGGCCTGGCACCAGCGGAGACTTGGACCATCCCAACTTGCAGAAGTATGAAGGCTGCCACCCGCTTGCTGACTCGTGTGCCGTGAAAGAATGAGCCGGCCGGCCAGCTGCTCGCTTGTGCATCAGGCTGAGATCAAGCTGCATTCAGAAAGGTTTCATGTTGATTTGGCATGACGCTTGATTCGGTGGACCATGGTCTGGTGAGATCTCTGAACTGAGAATCCAGTGATTGTTCCAAGTGCAGTTAGAGGGGGGAAAGGGCAGACAAGCAGATCCACGCCACTCCTTGTATGGCCAAACTTCAAATTGTGACTCCGGTTCTAATGCTCCAGAATGAGAACTTGATTTTCCCTTCGTATTTAGCAAATTTAACTGTCTGTTTCATTGGGCCTAATCTGCCATAGCTTAATTCAGATGTCTCACCCAACCAGGATTTGCATTAATTACCGGTTTGATCCTGAAGCTCAAATTTAGCATGTCTTGCTGTAGGGAAAAAATGGATCGCTTCACCAGACCCTTAAATCCCAAAGTTGCCCAAAAGACGAAGCTGGATGAATTCATTTTACAGGCATGAACTCAGTGATACCATCGAATTGAGTTAGGTTTCTTTATTACAAGTAGTTACATGTTGGCATATAAATATTGGAAAAATACATGGCTTTCCAAGGGCTTAAGGGGAAAATTTGCAGAATAATAATAATAAAAATCTCAGTGATTCTCTGCTTGTTCTCAAGGCCCCGTTATTGCAAGAAACCCACTCCAGGACAAATCCATCGCCAAGAGAGTTAATAAGACTATGGAAACTCTCGTTCTAAGATTAGGACCTTGTTCTCGAGAACAGGTGGCAAACAGGGACTTGACAGGCCTGTTACCCCATAAAATGAACCTGGTAATAGCTAGGCAAGAACCCCTCCTGGTATCTGTAGTCCAATACATTTGGAAGACTACATGCCCCATCACCTGGCTATTACCTGTACAGGCTGTAGCTGATGTAATCCAATAACCTCTGGGGGACGCTGGTTCCCCACTACTAAGGGACCCTACAGTATATGGGGAAGCATTCCATTGCGTGAAACCCGCACCTCTTAGCCTGTGGTGGAGCATGGACAGTTTTATCCGTTCAGCTGCTCCTGATGAGAACCAAATCTAGGAAAGATTTCTGAGACATGTAGAAAGCTTTGCAAGCCAGCCAGTTTACAAGCAAAACTAAGTTTCTATTTCCCTTTTTGCAAAACAATGTTAATCCTTTGTTAGTATTCAGGTAGGTGAAGCAACCTGATAAACGTTGTGGCTGGACCTTTGCTTGATGGAGAAAGATGGCTCAGCTAAGTGTGTGAAGGGGGCATCCAGTTTAAGTTGCATCAGCGCCAGCTCAACAGATTCCTAACCTCCAGGGATCACCTGTGTCAGCCTTTCATAACTGCTTTTAAAGCACACACACCACCTTAATGTGTAACACGTGCAATGCTCAAACAGGTTATCAAAATGACCCAGATACTTGGAAGACCGAACAGTAAGCTTGCCCTAAAAGAACGTGGCATCTCCAAGCCATTCTAAACAGCCCTAAGCCTGGGTTTAACCCAGATGCAAGTCAGACTTGGGCTAACGCTGGCCTGCTGAGGCAAGACGCTACCCAGCTGTTACAGTGGCCACCCTGCAGCAAAGAAGAACCTGTCCTGCATAACGCGTGACAGCAAAGATGGGGACCGAAACTTTTGGCACAGTGGATCTTGGACAGCTACAAGGTTGGGCTCTTTTACAGCAGCGGCAGAGACTAAGATTGAAATTTCTGTCCAGCCTTCACCGTGATGACAAAGCCAGAGGAAGATGCCAGAGAAGTTCCAAGAAGCCTACGACGGCCTAATGGACAGCCGAGCAACCTTCCGCATTACAAATATGCCTCACTTGTCAAACTTCTCATGAAAACACAGTCAAGAAAGGGAAGCACTGAGCACCCTCCAAGTCTGTTTCTTTCGGGTTCCATCTCCTAGCAAGCCAACTTAAGAGGTTCTAGAGGAAGCTACACCCAGGCAACATTTTGAGCAACTCTGATCCTCTGTAGAGGTGTATTTTTTCTCCTGCTGCAAGAAAGCACTTTTGTATCAACAAATTTAAGCTACTGGAATTAACAATGCAGCCTCCTGAGGTACCGTAATGTAAAAGCTACTGAAGAGTCATGTCCTCGAGGAGTATATCCATGCACTGACTAGCAACAGAATTTTTCCGGTGACACAAACTGGGGCCAGTCAGTTGTGTAGGCTCAGACGTAAATGTTTTATTAAAAGTGCTTTACAGTGACCGTTTTTGTGCAACCCAGCCCAAGTCCGCCAGGAACCCGAATGCACTGCCCAAGGACCAAGCGTCATACAGGGGAATTCCATATTCCCATTCCCTGTCAGGGCAGTTCGACAGTCAAACCATTTTTATATAAGCTTGAGCCAAAAGGGTTCCTTCTCTACCCCATTCGCCGGTTAGGCAAATGTGCAGAAAGCTGGTTCTGAGAAACAGTCATCTGTCATGGGATGGATTACCAAGCTCATGCCGCACGCAGAAGGCTGTCTAGTGTTAATGTGGCTCGGACAGACCAAGCACAAGACTTTTCCCAAGGGCAATACGGGATTCTCCTCTGGAACTGGCCTGCCGCCAAGGACAACCCTGCAGGAGCTTGTTCCACGGAGGTGAAGAGACCGTGCCAAGGGCGCCAGGGCTCATTCTTTCAGAGCTGGAAGGAGAGCAACCCAGACGGGAGTAGGAAAAGAACATGAAGCGCCAAATCCAGGATCCCACCGCAGAGAGAACGGAGTTCCCGTTTCCCAACCAGGGGCAGGCGGAAGGGCAAAGCAGCGAACTTGGGATCCAATTTGAAATGTACTGTTTGAAATCAATTTCTGCGTTTTCCCCCTACAAAAAGGCTGTCTCATACTGCACATACCCAAGATTTTACTTAACATACAAAGCCATTATATCCTATAAATCACAGAAATATAAAAAAGTAGCACTGTGGTTTCAGCTCTTTTTACATATACATTACGGGACACGTTAGTATTCTAGAAAGGGGTGGGAGAAGAGAAAGCACATGGTCTGAATTTATGAATGTTTCCTCTTCCGACCCCTTACCCCCCCCCCCCCCCCCCCCCCCCCCACACAAAAGTAGGGGTTACTGAAGGTTAAGGGACGCATGTCCCAACTGGTTCATTCATAGAACAGGGAAACTCTTCCAGGGTTTTGACCTGCTTTTAAGAAGGCAAAAAGCTTTTCTAAAGTACGTGGTAGTTTGACCCCCATAGGATTTTGTTTACCGCAGTTGTCAACACCGCTTCTTGTGTTTCAAAGGTCTGCTTTGGGGGGGGGGGGGCACCACGGCATGGGAGAGACAGCACAACATGTCGTCAGACCCTGAGCAGAGAATGTGTGGAGGCATGTGGGTTGTGTGAAAGGAGCGACCGGAAGCCACGCCACTTCTATCTGGCACTGAAATGCAGGGGTGGGTGGGGGTGGGTGTGGGGACTGCCTGCAGAGCTCCCGGGTGAGGTGAAATCGCTACCATTTTCTGCAAAATGCCAACGTGGCTACCCAAGGCTTGTGAGCAGAGGGGCAGCTGTGACGCCACTGTGACAGGATGGCCACCTTCCCCTCGTGCACGGTGCTCTCGGCCCTGTGTCACTGCCTGGCCACCCATGAGAGGTGCCGTCTCCAGAACCTCCCACTCCAGTGTTAGTGTAAACATACGACAACTTGCTAAGTCACTGATATGCTGTCAAAGGACCGGCCCAGGGCTTATTCCTTCCTCTGAGGGGGCGCAGTGCAGTCCGGTTTGGAAGCTGGTCTCATCTCTCCCCGGTCTGTGGGGAAGAAATGGGAGGGTGGGGGAGAGGAAGGTTCTGAAGACACGGGAGCAGTAATTCAGGCTCCATTTCAACAGGAGAAACTAAAGCTTTTGTCCTAAGGCCACCTTAAAAAAAATTGCAATGCATTAAACAAAACCCTGTATGGACAAGAAGGGGCGGTTCCTGTGCATGGTACAGAGGCCCACTTTACGACAGAGAGAGAGAGAACACGAACCAGAATGTTTTCTCCTGGAAGGAAACAAAAGGGACATCACCGCTCAAAGTGGCCCAGGATTTTAAGTGCTAGCAATTTCTTTTTTAAAGACCCCTGTGATCGGGCTTCGAGGCAGCCGTCACAGCTTCACAGCCTACCAAGGCAGGCCTATTCTGCCACATGATCAGCAAATGCACCCTCTCCTCTCTCGAAGCCCTGCACCAGAGGACGCAGGGCGAAACTCATTCGTGCCCACGGCTTGCATGCAGAAGCTATGCAACTGTCCTTATTTGCTCCCAATCCAGTTTCTATCAACTATTAACATTCATACAAAAAGTATATATTTATATATATTGGAATATAGCGTTCATGTGGTCCCTTAAATCGATCAAAGTTCAGTGGAACAAGGAGACACGGTATGCACTTCCCTGGTCCCTGTGAGAGGCGACTGGCCGTGCCGCTGCTGTGAGGGGGGAAGGAGAAGCTCGGCCTGCGAGGCGTTCCTCTCCTTGTGGGCGACTAGGACACTCCACCCAGCGTCAAGACGTCGAAGCATATATTGCAGACGCGGACGGGCTTGTTCAAGTCGAATTTGATGATGGGGATCTCCTTGGTCGAGCACTTGTGGCAGAGCAGGCGCCCACAGTGCCGGCTGCAAAGAAGGGCGGTGGGGGGGGGGGGCGAAAAGACAGAGAAGAGGGCTCGGTCCTCGGTCTTCTGCTGGAGCAGACGAATGCACAGCCCTGCCTCCTGCACTCGCCCTTCCAGAGAAACTTTTAGGAGGAGCCCGGGGGGCCTTCTTGGAATCTGCTCAGAGAATCACAGGGCCTTTGGCCAAGCTGCTGGGCATCCTGAATTCCTCCGCAGCCCCTGGCCTGCGCTGAAGCTACCTGGCTGGCTTGGTGTGCCAAATGGGGGGGTGGGGGTGGGCATGCCTCCCCAATGGCAAATTCCGCTGCCCGAAACAGCTTCTAGTACACAATGGGGGAAGCGCTGCTGCTCGGAATTAAAAAGCCAAGCCAGCAGCCAACTTCTTTGGCTTTTGTTCTTTGTAAGCCGTCCAGAGGCTTTTTTAGTGATGGGACAGCATAGAAAAACTTTAAATAAACAAACAACCAAACAAACAGGACATGTCCGAGCCAGACAACTCCCCCCCCCCCCGCCCACATCGCCCACGCCTACCAAGCCCTAGCTGCAGCCTGCTCTTCCTCTAGCACAGGCCACTGCTTGGGCCCTTGGAAGAATTCGGCCTCCCTCCCACTCCAGGACCTGCTGGGCTTCCTCACCCTCCTTTCTTCCCACGTCCCCCCGCACCTTTTGGACTACAAGACCCCATGCAGGGAATCTCATTTCGGACTCCAGTCCCGGGGCCACAGCAGGAACGTGAATGCGAGCCAGAGAAGCCTGCCAGCGCCCAAGGGACTCCCTCCTTCGCCCGCTTTGCTCTACAGGTTCAAAGTGCTGGCGGCCAAGTGCGGCACACAGGACTTAGGCCTGCTCCAGCAGAGGCTCCCGCTGCACCCCGTGATTTGGGATCATGGTGGGCAACATGACCCATCTGCTCCCCGTAGCTCTCACGCCCCAGCAACCCCCCCCCCCCACAGCTCACTGTGCAAACCGTGGTGCTTCACGCAGAATGGCTTTCCTTTCACACGTATCACCCCTGCAAGACCTTCCCTCCACTACACTCAGGCCCCCAGAAAAGCTGCACTCGGACTGCTAGGCACAAGGAGACAGAAACGCAGCCCCTTCCTTGGGGTCTCTGGGGCAGGTTGGGCCCTTCCTCCGCCCCAGGGACGGCTTCTGTTGCTGTGCTCGAGAGGCGGGCAGGGGCCACCCATACTTGGCAGCACCGCCCACCAAGCAATCCGAGCCTCGCCGACGTGTGCATCAAGCCCCTCAAACCGGCCCCGAAGGACCCTTACCAGTGATGCTTCCTTGTCGTGACCCCAAACTTGGCACTGCATTCGTAGCAATTGGAGCCGTCGCACCAGGGAGGTTCCTTGGAGAGCATGTCTGCAGAAGAACAGGCCGGTGAGGCATTCCTGCCGCCGGGGAGGGTTCTAGCCTGCCATAGGTGGGGGCCCCCCGGTGCTCAGTGCGCCCTCCCAACGGTGGGAGGCAAAGCAGGGACAGAGCCGAGCCGCCGGCAGGTGTCCCGAGAGGACCCGAGGGGTGCAAGGAAGCCAAACGCAGCCCCAGCGGCCCCGGCGTCACCTGCAGGACGGCCCTTGCCCTCCCCCGTTCTGCTCACTCAAGGGGCCCCGGGCAGCACCGCTGCGCCAGCCTCCCGGCCGCGGAGAAGGTGCCGGCCGCTGTTGCACGAAAATCTGCAGCCGGCTTCAGCTCCCCATCCTGCCATAGCCCCATTTGCATCCCTTGCGCCTTCCCGCCCTGTCCTTTGAAAAAAAGCTGCAGAGCCACCTGAGGGAAGGGTGGGGAGGCGAAGGCTGCCGATGCGTCTCCCCAGGGAGGGAGTCTTCAATGCAGACTAGCATTCCCCGAGGAGACGGAGTGGCCCGTGGAAGCGACAGGGGCCCCATCCCGCCACACCAAGCTGTGCGTAAAGGTCTCTCTTTGTGGGCCTCCCATGTGGGGCTGCACGAGGGCTGGAGGGCACGTACCCAGAAGCCGGAACAGCAGCTGCTTGGTAGCCACTTGGTAGTTGAAGATGTTGACTCCCTGGTTGTTGCTGACGCCCAGGCGCGCTCCGGCCCTCACTATGGCCCGGCACAGGTTGGCGTTCCCCTTCATGTAGGCCAGGAGCAGCACTGGAAGAGCGAAGCGGCGGTCGGCATCCCCCCGCCCATGGGCAGCGCACCCCCAGGCTCAAGTGCCCACCTGTGTCACGTCCCCTCCACCCAAAACCCGGAATTCCACGGCAGCTTAAGGGAGCATCTCCTTCCCCTACCCAAGTTGCTTCAACAGGTGCAGACTCTGTTGCTGTCAGACTATTCGACGGGAATCGTGAGTGTCTGGGCCAGGAGGCAGGGCTGCCTTCGCCAAGCCGGTGCCCTCCAGATGTGCCGGACCTCAGCCCCCAACACCTGCGTCCCAGCCCGGCACTCCAACCACGAGGCCCCCCGGGCTGTACCTGTGTTTCCTTCAGCATCTGGCTTGTCGAGAGGGTACTCTGGCATGCACTCCAGGAAGAGGTCGAAGATGGCCGCCGCGTTGTCCTTCCCGTACTGGCCCAGGATGTGCATGGGGGACTGCCCTCTGGCAACGAGACACACGCCTGTAAGGGCTGCTGGGGCGCGGGAAGCCCTCTCTCCTCTTGGGTTACCTCGCATGCAAGCTGATGAGCAACGGTGGAGCAAAGGGGCGCAACGCACACAACGCCACCCACGTGGCCTCGTGAACCAGCGCCCCCCCCGAAGGCCCGCTTCGGGCGGGAGCCACACAGCTGGCAGAGCGCTCTGGCCAACACGCCAGTCAATGCTGGCGGCATCCGTGATACTGTCACGGCCAGGATGCGCTTCTGGGCTGCCCACGGGGCAGTCGAGCTTCCGAGGGGAGGATGGGCAGAGGCTCACGGGAGAGGAAGGCAGTGTGCCGAAGGGAGCTGGAACGGCTCTCCCCGGCAGGCCACTGCCTCTGCCCGTCTCCAGGGTCTGTCTTTGCCGGCAACTGGGACCAGAGGTCCTTCGAACCAAGGGTGCCATAGCCCACACCTGGAACCTTGTGCGTGGAAAGAGTAGCTATCACCTGATGCTGCCTCAAAGAAACTGGGGGTCCTGGCTAAAAGTTACATGTGGCTATAATCTAGGTTTTGAAGTTGGACAAAGTTTCAGGCAGAGCCAGTAAGAAGCAGGGTGCTTATAAACACCGGGGTGAGGCCAAGCTCCCCGGGAAAGTTTGAAAAGCTTGGGCCAGAAAAGCTGCTGTTGCAGTCAGCAGGTAGCACAAAAGGAATGCTTTTTCTGCAGGAGCAACAAGCAGGAGAAAGCGATCCACCCCTGGACAACCTCCATGGCTAAAGGCGAACTGGTGGAGCGACGCACTGAGCTTCTGTGCAACAGAGACTGTTTCGCTTACCTGACGTTGAAGGCCTCGGCGTCCACCGTGCACTCCGTCAGGAGGACGCGGATGTTGGTCAGGCGTCCCTGCATGACCGCCAGGTGGAGGGCTGCGTTGAGAGAGAGGAGAAAGCAGCCACTCAGGACAGGTGTGTACATGCCTCCCTGTGCCACTGAAAACCCAGCGCTGAATTCAGTATATACAGAATCCCTTCACAGGAGAACTCGAGACAGGGCAGGGTGTGCCACCCAAAAGTCCGGATCACCATGGCCAGGGTGAACAAAGTTACGTGACACCCCTCCAGGGGCAGAGCCAAGGCTCTCTCCCAGGTGAAAACTTTTCTGTTTCGCAACATTTTGTCACTTGTAGGCACCTCTCTGCGACCGTAAGGGTTAGCAAGTCAGGCTGCTTACCTGTAACTCTCAGCATCTGTGCACGTGGGGCTCTGAAGACGCACGGGGCCTGCTGCTGGGGAGACTTCCTAGCTAGACTGGTCTTGCCGGGAACCCCTTCCTGCCCCCCCAAATACCGAGGAGGGGCTCCTGCCCACTTCCTCAGTTCACAGAGGCCACCGTCGTGACCGCGGAATCGAAAAGGGACAGCGCCTGAATTGCACCGATCTTCAAGGGAGCTTGCGATGGAATCGGTGCAGTTGGAAATGCAGCAGCTGTATGGCACCGAAGTGGGGTGGAAGGATGGGTTGTGTGAATGCCCAGATGACCCGTCCAAGAGTGACACTTGCAGGCAGACTGAGAGCCCAAGACCAGCCCAGGGGCGCCTGCGGAACCTCACGGCCGAGGGGCGGGGGACTCAAACCCAGGCCAGCCCCGCCCCGTTCTTTTCCGGCACTTGCCCATCCCGCCACGCTGGCTCTCAAGCCTCGAGGGGAAGCAGCAGCTCTGCAGCGCTGCAAAGCGAAGGCACTCACCATTGTTCCCGTTCTCGTCCACCGCTGCGAAGTCGACTCCGTTCTCAAGAAGCACAGAGCAAACGGTGGGAAGGTCCTGCTGGGCTGCGAGGTGGAGGGCTGTCTGCCGGTGCTTGTTCAGCTCGCTGACTTTCGCGCCCGCGAGGAGCTGTTGGGGGACACCGGGGCGGGGGGGAGAGCGCTCAGTGGCCTGGGCCACAGGGTACGGCAGCCTGCAGCGGGGTGAGTGCAGCCTGCCTTCTTTGGGGGGGGGGGGGTTGCAGCACGCACAGGCAGCCTGGCTTTTCCGCAGCACGGTTTGCGCTGCGATGTTCTGGGAGGCTTCCTGCAGGGGGGTCTGTCGTGGCGTGCAGGCAGGGCGCAGTGGCAGGCCAGCCGCCTGGCCAGGGTGGTGGAAAACCTGGCTGCGCCCCAGTCTCTCTACCACACCTTGAAATGGCACGTGCCAGCACTTCCCTCTACTTCTATTTACTTTAGTTACAGCCCACCTTTCTTCCTTTCAAGAAACTCAAGGCGGCTTACAGAATTCTCTGCCTGCTCTCAGTCTCAGTCCCACAACAACCCTGCGAGGTCGGTTGGGCTGAGGGCCTATGACTGATCCAAAGTCACCCCGTGGGCTCCAGGGCTGGGCAGTAACCAGAACCTGAACTGCCTCCGCCCCAGCCCCACTTCAGAGACTACTGGGACATCTTCAAGACAGAGACGTTCCCCCACCTCATCTTGGGAGATTCGTGCAGATCTAACTATTGCCCCCAACCTTCGGGGAAAGGAGCAATTTAAAAAAGAAAAATCTGCACAAATTGCACGAATTCATTAAAACGTAGTAGGTTCCCAGGCTTTAGTGAACTTGCATATTATCTCCCTGCAAGGTTTTTTCTTTTAAATAAACTTCAAATGGGTCTCCCTGAAGGTGAGGGGAAAAATCAGCGCTAGTCTGCGAATGAACGCAGGGATGTGTGCCGAGATGGCAGAGCAGACAAAAGTGAAAACAAGCCACAGAGCGCCTGATTATCTCTAACGAGGGTTAGTGTGCCACCACAGTTTTTTTTTCAGGGTAGTTTATCAGCCACTTCCGTTTTAATGAATCCAATGATGAAGGCAGTTCCACAGCCAAGGAAACCTTCACTAAACTTCTGCTGTTGTTGAGCCACCGTTGCCTGCAAAACAACTCGCTGTGAAGCAGAAAAGGTTTTCGGATGATGCACAGGTGTCATAGCATGTCCCTCAGAAAAAGCATCCGCTCCTGTGTGTGAGAAAGGGGTGGGGGGCAGGCCTTTTCTAGCAGCTGGGCGCTGTCTGTGACATGGGGCTATTAAAAGTTGCTATTGTTTCATCGACCTTTAAAAAAATGTATGTAACCTTTAAAAAATGTATGTAATCGATTCCTCTAACTTAGCAAAGGCCCCATCTTGAGCAGGACTTGAAATTACCAAGTAGCTGCCATTTGCAGAAGCCCATATGTGGGTGGGAGTTAAGTTTTGCTGGTTTTATTGGGGTCTCCCCCTCAGCATCTCCTTCTATAGTGAAGACACAGCACTCTGTAAAGACAAGTAATCGAGGTGCCCCACTGCTTTCGATAATCTTTCTCGTGCCTTTGCAATGCAGGGGTGGGGGACCTTTCTGGTCCCAGGAGCTGCACTGCCCCGCTGCCAGCGGGGGTCACTGGGCAGCGGCTGGGCTGTGGAACAAGGCAGGGGTAGAGGGGCCAGGCACTCAAGACCACGGCCCCTGTGCGCGAGTCCCTCATTTCCAATCGAAATGGGAGAGCCGGCCCCACGGTACGAGCATCATTCAAGCGGCTACCAAAAATCACTCCCGCGGTGCCTCCTCCGCATCAGCTGCTGAAGTTGGACCCTGGCGAGCGGGCCCAATTCAAGGTGTTGATTATGACCTACAAAGCCCTAAACGGCTTGGGTCCTGGCTACCTGAACGAGTGCTTACGTCCGTATATGCCCGACCGCCCTTTGAGATCTGCGGGAGAGGCCCTTCTCCGGGAACCCTCCATGAAAGAAATTAGGAGAGTAAGTACCCGGAGGAGGGCTTTCTCTGCGGTGGCGCCCAACCTATGGAATTCACTCCCCAAAGAGGTCCGCCTGGCACCGTCGTTACTGGTTTTTCGGCGCCAGGTGAAGACCTTTTTATTTAAACATCATTTCAATTGTTAAAACATATGATCAGGCCATGGCAACTTCTTCCTCCTTCTCTTTCTCCTCCTATATTTTTATTTTATACTGATAATTTTAATTTTATATTTGTAAATCAATGTATTTTTTGTATTTTTATATTTAATGGTAATTTATTATATACTATTGTATTTCAATGTATTTTATCATGTTGTAAGCCGCCCCGAGGTTTCGGCAAGGGGCGGCATAGAAATGTTATAATGATGATGATGATGATGATGATGATGATGATGTATCTCGCCCTTCCTTCAAAGTAAACTTGGTGAAAAGCCGCTTCTCCCATTGCTGCCCATGAAAGAACACCGTACCGCTTGGGCAACACCTACCAGATTCCGCACTATAATTTCAGAGCCGGCTTGCACAGCGAGATGCAGCGGAGTCAGCTTGGAGGCATCCTGGACCCGGGAATTTACGTTGGCCTGAACACTGATCAAGAACAGTACGCTCTCGATATCGGAGTTCTGAACAGCCACATGGAGGAAGTTTCGGCCTTTGTTGTCCACCTGAACCGGGAGCCAAAGAATGGTTATTAAAAGGCAGCTGCGCCAATGAAAAAACCCCCGGCAGACAGGTGGTGACGGCTTGCACCCTGCAGCCCCAGCACCCATGTTTGTAATACAAGCTCCAGGCAACTGCCAAGCACCAAGGAGTATGGGCAGCGCCTTCCAAGGCATGAGCCTTCCAAGGCAAGAACTCAGAGCAGCGACAAAACAGTGAGCCAGCGCATGCAGACACTCGGAGAAACGGGAATAATGTACATGATGATGTGAGGAGGATAAACTGAAGCACTAAAAAGCCTGCTGCTATTGTGGTATTTCTAGGCTTTGGTTTAATTTCTCACCCTTTCCAAGGACCTCAAGTTGCACCCATACAGCACCCAATTGTATTCGCACACAAGCCTGGAAGGAGTTCAGGGTGCTGTGTGTGTGTGTGTGTATGCGGGGGGGGGGGGAGTCTGGTCTGGGGCCACTAAGTGACTTTCTGGATGAAGAAAAATTCAAACCCAAGTCTCCCCAAGTCCTCGCTCCAAGTCCATTAATACGAGGGCTTTTAAAAACGTGAGAGATTAGGCAAGTGCCGACCTGTGCTAAGCCATGAAATCCGGGGCTTGTGTGGTGCAATGGTTACTGGACACGCAAAACAAAAAGGGCAGGTGTGCAGCTCCCAGAAGCAGGACAGGCGCGCAAGAGCCTCCTTCTCCCTGTGTGGGATTGCAGACGGGCGCAGGCAGCCGGGACTCATGGCACTTGTAGTCCAAAAGTTCCCGAGGCTGCTGAGCCATCTTAAGCTCACATACGGACAAACAAAAGGCACACCGCAAGTCCTGCAAGACACGAACGGCTCACGCAGAATAAACAGTACAAGCCATCGTTTCTTACAAGAGTTATCTGTAGGCGAAGGTAAAGGAAGAGCTCTGGCTTCCAAGGAGAGAAGTGCACAGACTTCACTCTCCAGTATGCAGAATTCAGAAGCGACCACGCCAGCTCTCACGGGAGACCTGTCCAGGGTAAGGGTCCTCCGTGCGAGAGCTGCTGGCTCCCTGCCCAGAAGGTCCTCGCGCTGTGCCAGGCCATCAGCATGCAACGAGGGTGCGTGCCGGGCAGCCCACTGAGGGCGTGCCAAGCGCGCGTGTACCTGCTCGGCGGCTCCCGGCTCCCGCTTCAAGATGGCCTCGGCGGCCTTGTTGTTCTTATGCATCATGGCGCAGGCAAACGGGGTCAGCCCTTGTCGGTCCCGTGCGCCGAGCTGGATCGCGGGGTGTGCAATCAGCAACTGGATGATGACCCCGTGCTGGTTGATTATGGCAATGTGGATCGGCGTTCTTCCTTCCGCATCCTACACATACGTGTTGAGTTAAATTGGTTAGCGGCAAGAAGTGGGCATGTTGGAGCCACACTTCCTGTGTGTGGTGCTGGGCAAACAAGTGTGTATCAGTTAACAGCCAGTGGAGCACGTAGGAGAAGCGTGCCCGAGTTCTGCGCAAAAGAAGAAGTGCTAACGGGTTCATAGCACGTGTCCAGAAATCCAGGAGAACGGCGGCAGGCCTCTACAGCCAGCTAAAACATAAAGAACGCAGGGCTGTATCCGTGTAGAGGTGGCACACGGGAACTGCAGACACAACTGGATGGGAACACCCAGTCTCCGTTCGGGCTCTGCTGCTACGACTCTCACCGGCAACACCATCTTGGAAGGCTAACCGATACTGCCGTTAGGGAAAGGACTAGGAAGTGCTACAGATTTCTCCTGCTTCTGCCAGTTCCGAACCTCAGCCCATCAAGTCCAACTTCGTGGCCTGCAATGCAGGGCTGGTTTTGTAAGTGCCTCCCCATACTCCCCTTCGACTTTCATAGCAAACCCCTACAGGCCACATACAATCATGTGCCCTGAAAGATGGAGCAGAGTCCCAGGTAACTGGAGCAGTGAGCCAATCGGTGATGCAAACTGGCTTACCGCTTGAGAGAGCACAAACCTGGATAAAGGAGAAAGGATGGGGACACAGGAAGAAGCTAACAAGCTAACAGGAAGCAGGAAGAGGCAGGAGACAGTCTTCCTAGCAGCAGCCTGGAAAGAAGTTCCTGACGCACCTGGAAGCAGCACGAGGAAGGGGACTGCCAGTGCTGGAAGGGCCTATAAAGTGTTTCCTTGCATACCTGTGCATTGACATTGGCGCCAAACTCCAGAAGGCACTGCACCGTTTCTTCGAGGCCCCAGCAGGCTGCCAGGTGCAATGGCGTTTGTCCGTCGTGGGCTTCTTCATCGCCCTCCCCATTGGCTCCTGGCTGCCTCGGGCTGTTGACGTCACAGCCGCTGGGAAGAAAGCAGCCAACAGGCCGAGCTGGGTGAACTCGGAGTGCGCAATGCGGGGAAGCTGGGAAGCTGGATGGTGCCATCAGGGCAACCGCCCACCCGGTTCCAGGCTGGGTGAACTATGCGTAGACGGTGGGGACTCACGTTCTGAACGACAGTCTCCCTCCCGAGGGAGGGATAAAGGTTTGGCTCAAAAGGCTCGCAGGCTCTGATAGTGTGCGGATGTCACAGTGGGGACCTCTGCGCTGTTTAACCCAGGAATCGTAGGAATCAACCACGCACTTGTCATCTCAGTTTTTAATCAACAACCCTGGGCTGTTGCTTGGTTAAATGACCCAGAGTTTATTTAGAAAATCTGTAGGCTGTCCATCACTCTCGTCTCTGGACAAATTACAACATTATTTCAAATCCTAAATTAAATAAATTAACTATTCCACAACTGAGCATAAAACTAATCTATTTGAAATAAATTAAATAAATCTAATACCCAACTAGTTAAACGCAACAACTGCTCACGGTTTCTTGCTAACCAATCTGGGTGGGTTAACCATAAGCAAGCCGGAGCTTTCAGGTTCAGATGCCACGAAGCAATCTAGAAACAGGGGTGTTTCAGGATTATTGATTGGAAGTGGAACCCAACATGCCATTTATCCCTGAAACTGTTGGGTTAAACAGCCCTAGAATTGCTCTTGTGAGGTCCAACCCAGTTGCCAAAAAGGGATTAGTTAACAGGGAGGGGAAGCCCAGAAAGCATCACCCTACGCTCATATTCCCTGGGCAACAGGAGTGCGCCTCACCTGCGGACAAGGAAGCAGGCGATCTGCTCACTGTTCTCATCGATGGCTCTGTGCAGCAGGGTCTGCAGACAGCCACTAGGCCCTGGGCCCCAGCAGGTCGCATCGCAGCCGTGTCTCACCTGTGGAGAGAGGGGGATAGCAAGCGTGCAGAAGGAAGCACTAGGTCTGCCAAACATTCTGATTTTTATTTCTCACATGGAGAAAGCGGACAAACAGTCTTGGCTTCCCTCCGTCGTGCACATGGGTTGCCCGGTTTCATTCCTCGATCAGGATACCTTTAGAAAATTTGCTACTGGTCCCATCGCAGGCTGATGCTGTGCTGGGGCCCCCATATGACTTCTCGGCTTTGTGCTTCCTCTTCAGTTTTGGGAAGTGGGTCCCTTTGTCATTTGAGAAGCTCTGTGCTTTTAAAAATCTGGGCTTCCGTGCTCTAGGTTTGCGATGTGGTAAAAGCACTAAACACATGAGCAGGGATGAGGGGGAGAAAGTGACCCTAAGGCAAGGAGCAGAGTTCCTGTTTTTGGAAGAGAAGCTGTAAAAGGCAGCGAGGAAAAGTGGAACTGTTTTCACGCCACTATTTGTTTTATTACAAACAAAGTCCCATGCATCATCCTTCCCCTTCCACTTGCAACATTTGGGAGCACTCATACTCTGCTGCAGTTTCCACGGGGCTGCAACCAAAGAGGTGAAGCAGAGGCACTGACGCCACCAAAAGGAATGTCAAGGAAACGGTATTTTGCACCATTCATCCTGAATTTCTCCTGTGGCGCCCAAGTGCTCATTTGCAGGCACCGAAGATTTCTTGATCTCCACTCTCCGCATCTAATGCTTAAAAACGTTATCCTGCGTGCTTTTCTACTAAAATAGCTCCACATGCATTGATCAAAGGTTGCAATGTAGACGTCACTGGTTTGACGCATTTGATGTAAGGCAGAAACACAGACACAGGAAAGGGACAGCTCGTACCAGAGTGGAAGCAATGTCTTCCAGGTTGTTTTCAAGAGCAAGCCAAAGTGGGGGATTCCCTCTCTCATCTGGCACAGACATGTCCGCTCCTCTGGTGCAGATGGCGTCAACCACAAGAGGAAGCTGGTTCTTGATGGCCAACTGCAGAGCCGTCTCCCCATCACGAGTCCTACAACAAAGGTACCGTGTTCTACAAAGGCAGACGTCCCGCGCGGAGGCATCATTGCCAGCCACAAATCTGTCTGCAGAGTGACCACACAGCCCCTCGCTGTGGCCTCTTCCTCTGAGGTTACAGAATCACCCTCCCCATCTTGGCAGTCCACAACATCCAAAGGCCACAGCTTCCAGGACACCTGACTGGCACCTATGCCGGCTGGGCAGAAAGGAGATGCAATCCAAAACATTTGGGGGTCATCAGGTTGAGGAAGATTATCACAAAGTTCTTCCATGTTTCATTCTGAAGAGTGGCGGATGAGCCAAAGAAAACGAGAAGTGGGTTGGCCCACAGGGGGGCACGCCAGTATTGCCACCGATCCTTTCTCTTCCAAGAGGAAGATGTAAGCAGCTACCTTACACTGTCGGATTTGCTTGCTCTGACTGGGAGCACGTTCCCGTCGGATCTCATGCAGGAGGAGGACTTTCCCGCCATCTGCCACCCAAGGATCTTCTCAGAGGTGTTGTTAGGAGGTGAGCACAGGGCTTCCTGCCTCCAGGGGAGCTGCTTTATGACTAATAATGTGGGCTCACTCAGAGAGGAGGGGGACCACCGCAAAGGAAAGCACGATTCCCGTGTGCTCGCCAGCCATGCTCAAGAGGGTACTCTTGAAGCTGAAGCGCATCATCATGCTATCAAAGTAGGCAAAATATAACATGGCTGACCGCTTTCATAATGGCAATGTTTTATTTCCTTGCATGACCAGCTGCCTCAAGCCTCTTCTTCTCAGGTGTAAAGGACACCCGGACCCCAGACGCAAGAGACGGCAGTTGCTGGGCAGAACCTACTTCTCCATGACGTCAGCACCATATCATGGATGTTCACAGGCCACAAGGGCTAAAAGATCGCAGCTTCATGAAAGCACTGGTTTCTGCCCCTCAGACCAAAACAAGGCCCAGACAGGCACTGAGGACCGGTCTACCCAGAAAGCTTGGGCCCCAGCAAATGCCCCAGGGAGGCATGGAGCCCGCTTGCTCGCCCACAGCTCCGCAGGCACAAGATAGGCCATCCTCTTACCTGACGCTGATGTCAGCTTGGTGCTCCAGGAGGAAGAGGGCGCTTTTGCTGTCCTGCCGCTGGATCGCCATGTGCAGCAGGGTCTGCCCGTCCGACATGGTGTCGTTGATGGAGGCCCCCGATCCGAGCAGCTGGGCCGCAATGGTGTGCATGCCTAGGTGAGCGAGCCAGCAGCGCTTTTACTGACCCCCTTTTTTAACCCCACCCCTCCCCCAGAAGGTTTGTAATGGCCTCCTCGGGGCCCCATTCTTCATAGCTCTATTAAACAGTTCACTTTAGAGAAAGATACAAAAGGACTGGAAATTGTACTGCTGGTTAGGTGTTTCACGTTGTAACACTCTTTACTCCCCTTCCCCAACCTGGGTTCCTTTAAAGCAGGGGTGCCCAACCTGCGGCCCGCAGGCCACATGTGGCCCGGGGTGGCTATGAATGCAGCCCCACATAAAATTGTAAACTTGCTTAAAACACCAAGGTTTTTTTGTGGGCTTTGTTTGTTTGTTTTGGTAATTCAATTCCGCAGTTCTCAAGCGTGAGCTTTGTAGACAATGTTGTGTCGCAACGCCACGTAAAATAAATGCATGTATGCTCTTGCTATATGCATGCATGGTGGTGGCAGATACCACAGAAATTATGCACAGACCTTTTTTTTTCTTTTTGCTCAGCAGCTTTTGTTCATGTTTGTGTATTTGATGAGAGGTCCAAGACATTTCTTCTCCCAGTGTGGCCCAGAGAAGCCAAAAGGTTTGCCACCCCTGCTCTAAAGGGTTTGGACTGTGACATCCATCACCCTCAGCAAAGCTGCACCAAGCTGCTATGCACGGAGGAATTTTTGCTTCCTGAGAGCCAGGGGCTGATGTTCCTTGGCAGCATGTGGACACGCTCATGTACACTATCACAAGGGCTCCGTCGTAACCCTTTTAACAGTCAGGCTAACGAAAGAAAGAAGCTTTCCGGGGATTAACAGGTCAACTGGAGTTTGAACTTTCCTCCCAGTGTTTTTTGACATGAACCCTGTTCAGGTACAAGCACACCAGATGCAAACAGGTTTGCGTGTTTTCCTGCCATGCATACAACCTTTCTGCCAAATCCATTTTTTTAACTTGCAGCTGGAATTCTGCTGAGCTTTGATGTGCCACCGTTTGGCAGGGTGAAGATCCATGCAGATCGAGGAGGAGGTCTGCTCTCCTCGCTAGTTCTCACCTGGCATTTGTGTGAGAAAACACTGGTGCTTGAAAAAGGGCCAGGGGGTTGTGGAAGTGCAGCAACTGGGCTGCACAGCATCAGGTGGCTGCTCACCTCTGAACTCCTCTCATGAATCTGGTCCTGGCTTCTCCCTTTCACTAGAAACTGATGGAATGGAAACAGCTAGTGCAACCCAGGCTAATTTAAGCAGCTTTCCTTTCCGTAGGCAAGGCAAGCAGGTTCTTAAGGGCCCGATCCTACGCAGGTACGGACAGAAAAAAGGCCTACAACTCCCAGCCAGCCTCAAACCAGCTTTTCCCTGTCTAAACCAGCCTAGGATTGCAGCCTTTAAAACAGCGGGATATAAGAAAATGTTAACTTTGGCTGGATGCTGTCTCTCATGTTTAAGGACGCCTTCTTGCCTGGTGTGCAATACATTTGTACATACCACATGATTCATCTTGTTTTTAATTGTACGTTGTGAGCCGCCCCAAGATGCCAAGGCATGTGGTGACAGCATATAAAAGTTTTAAACAAACAAATAAATAAATAAAATCTTCTAACTTTTACCTGTCCACAAGGCCAATCCCAGTACTGTCTGGTCTCTGGAGTCCTTGAGGCTGAAGTCAGGAATGATCTGCAGATTGTTGGTGGCGTGAAGAGCATTAGCTAGGAAAAAAACACAAACAAACAAAAACATTCTCATTTAATATGCGATATGAATGCCAAAGGTATTGTTTCTGCATTGAGGTACCAGACTGGGAAAGGCTGCTGTGGAAAGGGCCTCTTGTCTTCTGTTTCAGCACGAAGGTGTGATTTTCAGAGACTGTATCCTGGGCAGATCACCTGCCTTTCATGCAGAAGCTATTGCGTTCAATCGCTAGCACCTCCAAAGGCCTCTCCCTGCCCAAGAGCCGCTACAAGCCAGAGCACACAACGCTGTAGCAGGACCCACAGTCCAAGTTCACATGAAACAACTACATAGGTTCATGCCTCCAATCAATGGAAGTTCTTTTAAAAAATCAGTGGCCAACTCAAAATGTTGTAGCAGATTTTTAATCTTTTCCCAGCTTGTCAAGCATGATTAGAAAAAAGCCATCCAGTACCAGTGGGGCAATCGGACTCTCCTCACCATGATTTCCGGCTAGAAAACTGCAGTTTTCAAGAACAGGGTAGGTCCTGTTTGATAGATCAAGGGATCAGATTTGGTGGACGAACAATTGGTCAGAAGGTGACTTAAGGACAGGCTTAGGTGACTTAAGGATAAACGACTCAAGTGCTGTGAGTTTAATGTAAAACTAAAACTCCACTCCTTTATCCAAAGCCTTTATACCGTTCCTCCTTCATACCTGGTTTGCCGCCTGACCACCACCCAGAGCATGGGCTGAACCCAGCTTGCTCTTGAATTGTGCGCTGTCGTTATGAGCAAACCCTGCACTATGGTTTAGTGATGGGTGGTTAGCCATAAACACAACTCGACAACCAATCATGGGCTCCCTTCCTGGGTTGCTTGTGGTTAACCAGCCATCATTAAACCATAGTGCAGGGGACCCTTGTAATGACAACCCACAATGTAGCAGCAACCCACTCTGGGTTGTCATTATGTGCAAACCTGGACGCGTCTCACTGCCTTGCTCCCTGCCCACACAAAGAGGGTGGGTCTGCAGGCTCAGAGCTGTGCAAATGACATCCTTCTCAAATGCCGCCCCTCCAAGCCACGGGAAACTGGGATCTCCTTTGATTTCCTTTGCTCACTCTCTCTCGCTTTCTCTATCAGAAGGCCAAGATCTCCCCACACAAGGTCTTCCTTTCTGACTTAACATATGCTCAGTTTTCTACCTGGATTTTCCTTGCGCTGCAAGCAGACGTCTTCCAGCTGCCTGTGTTTCTGCTCCTCACTCATATTCAAGCCAGTCCTACAACACCACGCGGACAACACCGAGCATCAGGTTCGTGGCACCCCCTCACCTTTTTGTTCCAGGATGACAGACACCACATCTGGGTGGTTATAGGCGATGGCCATGTGAAGAGGTGTCTGCAGGCTGACGCCCTCTGCTGTGGTGGGTCCTGAGGTCCCCTTCTGGGCGGGCGCCGCTTTCTCCGTCTGGATATTCGGGTTGGCTCCCTGCTGCAAGAGCTCTGCCGTGAGACTGGCCAGACCATGCCGGCAGGCGGTGTGCAGTGGTGTCTCCCCCTGTAAAAGAAGAGTTTGTGAAACAGTGAAAAGGTGCTAGAACAGGAGAGATGAGACAGAGGGCCAAGAGACAAGAGAGAGGCTCAGGAGCAGGCCTTTACATGGAGCTTGGCCACGGACTTCAGGCAAGTTGTCCTCAGGATGCATGAGCTATGTCTGAGCTGTACTGGCAAGCTTGTAGGGGCTCACATGATGAAAAGTCCTTCCTTAAAGAACCACCCAATCCCTCCACACAGAAAGCTGGCACAGGATGGGCAAAAAGGTACACTGCGAGGTCAAATTTGGGCATTGCTTTGTGGTCAGGTCAGCTCAACAATTAAGCCCCTGTGTGTTTCTGAAAGAGCAAGTCCTAATACTCATGTGGAGAAGAAAGCTATCTAACCAACCTATTTGGACATTATTTAATGCCCAGAGTTTAGACAGGAGATTGAAGGTGGACTATGAGGCTTGTAACATCCTTGCCAACTTTTCCTCTTTCAACTGCATCACTTGCCAAGGGAAAAATGGACACTGGGAAATTAATAAAGAAAGGCCAATCTCGTGGTATTGTGCAAACTTTTCTTTACGGAAAGAAGAACACTGGATGATGCACGGCAACCCAAGAGTCCATCTCCTGCTTACTCCTCATAGAATATGAACTGGCCTGAAAACCCCCCATCACAAAAATATTGCCTTCTCCCATTTTGATCTGCAGGAGGCATTTTCAATTATTCTTCGCCTCTCCCATGTGGTGCAAAAGGGACCCAGATGAGCAGCTGATCACAGGCAGATCTATCTGTACTGTGTTTAATCCAACATTCCAGGCCTTTTACTTACCCATTTATTCCTATGGTTGACTTTGGCCCCGTGCGTGGCCAGGAAGAGAGCTGCAGCCTCGTTTCCTGTCCCGGCAGCTCTCTGCAGCAAGCAGTTCCCTAAAAAGAACAGCAAGAGGAGGTGCAGAGTTTGCACAGCAGGCAAGGTTTCAACCACTGCCTTGCACGGATTCCTTGAGCTCAGCATACAGGAGGTCACAAAGCAAACATCACAGCAGGAAGACAAATCACTTATTTCAACAGAAAGCTGCGTCTCTGAAAGCTGGAACTGCACTCAAAAGAAAAGGGAGGGGTTTGCCAGTCCTATTGTATAACCAAAAATGATTTCATATTTGATCAGCACAAGACATTATAAAGAAATACGAGGAGTGTTCAGTGTATTCTCGGTATCGGGTTGATTTGCTATATATTTGATGCGGGTAATTTAATTATTTCATTAGCTAATGACACTCTCTGAGGGTATACATGCAAAATTTCAGGTAAGTGTGATCATTAGTTCCCTAGTAATCCTCAGTGAAAGACGACCATGATGACTGACATGACAATGTTGAAGAAAATCGAGCACCGCACTGTGATTAAGTTCCTTACAAAACAAGGAAAAAGTCAAAAAATCATTCACGAAGAGATGGTGGCCGTTTACCAGGACTCTGCACATTCGTTATCTACTGTTCAAAAGTGGTCGAGTGAATTTAAAAGGGGCAGAGAAAGCACTGAAGATGACCCTTGCTCAGTCGAGCCAGTTACTGCCAGTACGAAAGAAAATGTGAAAAAAATTGAGAAACTTGTATCAGAAGATGCCCGAATAAAAATCTAAATGTTAGCAGAGATGGCAAACCTATCCGTTGGTACCATATTTACTATTTTTCATGACCATCTTAACCTTTCCAAGGTCTGTGCAAGATGGGTGCCACGAATGCTCATGGCGCCTCAGAAACAAGTGCGAGTCAAGTGCTGTAGGGAGTTTTTAGAGCTCTGTGGTGAAGATCCATCGAGTATTTTCAACAGGATTGTTACTGGAGATAAAACTTGGGTTCATCACTATGACCCCGAAAGTAAGCAGCAGTGGCATAAAAAAGGTGCTGACCCTCTGAAGAAATTCAGAGTCACTCCATTGGCCGGAAAAATCATGGCCACAGTGTTTTGGGACTCAAAGGGAATTGTATTGATCGAGTACACGAAAAAAGGTGAAACCATAAACGCAGCATCTTACGCAACCACTCTGCGTAATTTAAGAGAAGCAATTAAAGAAAAAAGGCGGGGAAAACTGACTACAGGTGTATTGCTTCTTCACGACAACACGCCCGTTCACACGGGACCTGTTTCGAAGGCTGCTGTGCGAGACTGTGGTTTCGAAGAAATAAACCACCCACCCTATAGCCCAGACCTGGCCCCCAGTGACTACTACTTATTCCCAATTTAAAAAAAGATTTTCGTGGAAAGTGATTTTCCGACGAAGAGCTCAAGGCAGCAATTAACGCACATTTTTTAGACAAGGAGGAAGGGTATTTTTTACAGGGAATTGAAAAGTTAATTTCTAAATGTAATAAGTGTATTGAAGTTATGGGGGATTACATTGAAAAATAAAAATTATTTCAATTTATTATTCCTTTTTCTTCATGCTGATACCGAGAATACATTCAATGCCCCTTGTAGGAACTGCTGTCTTCCAAATGCCCAAAAAGAGGAGCCAAGCTTCAAGAGGTTTGCCTAGATATTTTAGGAACAGTTTATATTGAATTAATGAGCTGGCATTTGATTTTATACTGCCTTTCTGCTTTTAGTCGGGTACAGGGCCGTAATTTGCTACTTTTAATATTTCTTTTGTTCTCAATTTTTGTTTTCATCCTCTATGGGCATCGCACTCAGCCCCCAAAACAAACTGCAGATGCACTGAAGGAACTAGAACCATTTTTTATTTTTTCTGGCTGAACTGTGGCAGGAACAGGCTGATGCACTGCTTCTTTCTTTGCTTTGCAACTGACTGTAGCACAGAAGGAATGAGGGTCCCATGAGGAATCTTGCCCAAGCCCATGAATTCCCTTGAGCTCTTGGATTCTGCCACACACAACGTACCACAGTCACAAGAGGAGGGGGGAAAGGCTGTATCTGTTTGCTCAAAGCTAAAAGGGAAGTTGGCTGCTGGAGACTGGCAGGCTATGCCTGCTACCACACAGTGTCCTGGCTTGCAGGTAGCAACACCTGTGGGTTCTTTAACACTTGAGAAGAGCACAAGCAAGGGAGTGTCAGTGCTTCCTCTGGCAGGCAACTCATTAGGAATCTGAGTAACCAAAACTGGGAGGTGGGGAGGGGGGGGAGAGAATCACTATATTATACTGTAATAACCGAGGGCAACACTGACCTTTAACCTATGATGGGAGGTCAATATGGTTCCCGACAGCATGGTGGCCACTTGCACCGAGGGCAAGCTGCTGACTGGGCACGAGAAAGGAAGCAAGGGAAGGCCTGCACAGCCGGTGCTTGCTCCTGTTCCGCCCACTGGAGAGCACGCTCACCTGGAATCCACCGGGTTTACGGAAGGGGCCCCCACTGTGTCATCGTGCCACGGAGGCCTTCAACAGATTTCCCACACGCCCCTTGGAGCTTGCGTCAATGCCACTTCAGCCTGCGCCCATTTTACCACTGGTCCATGTGCCTGGCCTGTTCCAACGCTGCATGCTGTAAAACGGGCGATGGCAGAAATGCGCCCCGCCCCCCTTCTCCTGGCCGTGCCACATGGCGCAACGGAGGGTGAAGCAGGGCGGCACCTGTGTTCAAGCGCGCGCCAGGAGAAGATGCCTCAGGTTCAGAGACCCGGGCTGCTGTATGTCCTGCTTCTGCCCAGCCCGACCCGACCCAAGTGGGGCCTGCCTTTGGCTTTGCCAAGATGGTGTGGCCAGGACTGGGGTGGGGGTGAGCCCAGCACCAGGGGGACATTAGACTCGGGGCCGGCAAGCATGGCAAAGATGCCCAAGAGAAAGGCAGTGAATGGCATGGAGAAGCAGTGCAGAACGCGCTCTCAAAATGCCCAAAACATTTTATTCAACATGAAGTCTTTCAGAAGCCTTCCTTCTTTTGCATTTCCGCACCACGCGAAAGCTAAAGCCCTCTGCGGGTTTGCAACAGTTCGGATGCCAGCGGGGTGCTCGCCCACCTTTCTCCCCGCATGAGCTGACAAGCCTTTCTCATGCTTCCGCCGCTGGGAGCCGAGATGACCCATCCTTGCTTGGAGCCCTGATGCCTTCCAAGGCAGCGTGAACAGGGATGAGGCATCATCATGCAAGGAGAAAGGTAGTTCCAGAGGCAAACCAGGCCAGGTCAGGCCAAGCTTCTTCCTACCCCGCCATGAAGGCGACGCAAAGCAACCCACTATCTTGAGTTTCTGGCCAGGGGTAACCTTGGCCCACTGGTACCGTCTGTCTGTCTGTCCACCTCTTTCTCTCGCACTCTCTCTCGTTCTCTCACCCACCTGTCACTGTATCCGGAGCATCTGTATTGCTGCCTCGCTGGATGAGCCGGGCTGCAAAGCTGTTCTCGTCGAAAGAGGTGCCATTCTCCACCGGGGCATCCTCAAAGGGATTGACAGAAGGGTCAGAAGACACGGTGATGTACTGAACTGCAAGCCACAGGGCTGTGCTCCCTTCGTGGTCCTTCAGTTCCAAATCAAGTCTAGCAAGAGAGGGAACAAGCATCTTGTGTCCCAACACACCAGGGATTCTGGACTTGCAAGATTCAACCCTGGCCTGCTCATATGGAGCGGCTCACAAAATTCCACCTGTCTACATTACGTGCTTTCACCACCACCACTTGCTTTTCGGGCCTTGTGGGGAAGGCAAGAAGTTACTAGCCTACTTTATTTGGGGCTTTTTAATCTAGGAAAAAACGTATAAAACTCAGTCGAAGGGACTGACACGCAATCGGTTTATGAGATTATACACTCAGGACAGAGTTCTGTAACACTTGGGAAAGCCAGGTTCAAATTCCCACCCCATGCGACTTTCAGCCAGTTGTTTATCTCCCAGTCTAGCCCACCTCACAATGTTGTGAGGAAAATGATGCACAATGCTCTTGGAGAGAAAGTGCAGAACCACCAAATGGCACTGCCAGATACAGAGAAGAGGACAGCAGGAGAAGCGGTATCGCCTTTGTGTTTTGCTTGAAGATTTCAGCACCTGGCTGCTGGAGGTGGGACTCATGCCCAGGGGGCAAGGAGAGGGGAGGTCTTTTTTGTGGTGAGCAGCTCAAACAAAGCTTGCCTGGCACTCACAGTGACTTTTCAGCTGCCCAGGAATAAAATGTGGGCTCTCTGGTTCCCTAAATGCTTAATTTGTGTACCAGTCACCAGTTAAATCAACCCTGACTGCTCTTTAGAAGGTCAGATGCTGAAGATGAAACTCAAATACTTTGGCCACCTAAAGAGAAGGAAGGACTCCCTGGAGAAGAGCCTGATGCTGGGAACAATTGATGGCAAAAGAAGAAGGGGACAGCAGAGGATGAGGTGGCTGGATGGAGTCACTGAAGCAGTTGGCATGAGCTTAAGTGGACTCCGGGGGATGGTGGAGGACAGGAAGGCCTGGAGGAGTGTTGTCCATGGGGTCGCGATGGGTCGGACACAACTTTGCAACTAACAACACCAGTTAAAAGGCTTTGCTTTAAACTGGATTGTTCCCACTCTGTTAGTTGTTCTTGTTCTGTATGTTTAATATTTTTAAATATGATTTGGTTGGAATCGATTAACTCCTAACATTAAGGGCTCCTGAGGGAGAGTAATGCACGTTATATAAATTAGGAGGGGGCAATCGCTGAGGGTCAGATTCTGCACCATCACCGGAGCAGCCCATCCCCTCCCACCACCAAAATTGCTGCCACTGAAATTGTTATGCTGAAAAAACAACAACTCCGCAAGTAGTGAGGGTGGAATGACACAGTCACGTGCTTGGGAGTAGACCCCAGTGACAGTGAGAAGAACTTAAAATTCTCCTCCTTAAAAATGCCAGCCCATTAGACTGGGCCTGCTCATACTTACTGCTTGCACTGGAGTAGCTGACTGAATACTTGGTCATTTTTCACAATGATGGAGGCGTGCAGTGGTGTTCTGGAGAGAGAGGGAGAGGGAGAGAGAATGGTTCCATTGGAGCACAAATACTTCAGAAGCCTCCCTTCTATCAAGGATTGGCTAGACATGCACATGGTGGGCATGTTGTGAGCGGAGCTGGCTGGAGCTGGGGGTCAGACTAGATGGCCCAGACCCCTTCTGACTCGCTCTGTTTCTATGTTTAGAGAGACTAGATTCTGCCCTCATTTGGCATCTGCCCACTTTAGTCTTATCTGTTAGGACAACAATATCCACTGTCTCTTGAATGGCCATTACTGAGAACTCCGGGCGATTGGTTTTGGGCTAATCATCCAATTCAGCCAAGTACTTCCATACCAACTTAACAGCTTTCGCCACATTCATGGACAGTGTGCCCACGTTTTTAACCCAACCCTGTTCCTGGATTCAGCTCACCACCACCGGGACACTAGAAGTCTTTCCCTGACCACGGATCCATTTACTATGCTATCCTCATGCCAAGGAAAAACAGATCATTTAAACGAAAAGACAGATAGTCTGACCCCCTACAATGACCTGCAGCTTCTTCAGTGCATCTTGACCAGTGCCTGCATCTTACCCGGCCCCATGCAAGGCAGCGTCAAATGTTCAGATCAGTGCAGCAAACAAGGAGAGAAGGAGCCGAGCCGACACGGGGCTACCAAACAGATACCTTCCTTTGCCGTCCTGCATGTTTGGGTTGGCTCCGGCCTTTAAGAGAGACTCGGCGATCTCGGCCATCTCGGCCATGATGTCCGGCTTGTGCTTCTTGGGGCTATAAGATGCCACAAGGTGCAGAGGAGTCTCCTGGTCACCCAACGTTGCCGCGTTCACCCGGGCACCATTTTTAATGAGGAAATTAGCAGCAAATTTGTCTCCTTTTTGGGAAGGGAGAGAAAAAAAAGATTAGGCGGACACTGCCCATTTGAAACGCATTTTTTTAAAATGCACTTGCTCCACAGAACTGAGCCCTGGATGTTGCCTCTCCTAACGTTTCAAACCCCACCAAGCAAACTTTTCCAATCGGCCAGGTCAGCCAGATCACACAGAGGAGATATTTGAAAAGCAATGAATTATTTTGCCAATAATATCATTTATTCTCTTATTTACATGCCATATTTCTTGCTTCCATTTGCCTGCATGCATCTTCAAAGCCCGAACTGAAGTGCTGGTCTTAAGTTTAACCTAACAACATTTAGACAGCCTGGGACCTCTCCTCAATGTCTCTCGACCGGAATCTCCCTAGATAGGAGAACATATGCCTGAGGTCTTTCTCCAAGTGCTGCCTGGCACTGCTTGCAGAGCGCTCTCTCCGCTAAGGCTCACCTGATGCCAATTCTGTCATCCATTCAGCACCAAGTCAAGACAGTAGTCCATGCCAGGGCGACTTAAGGATATTGAAGGATACTTAATGGCTTGAATGGACAAGGCTTCTTGAAAGGGAGCAGCTTAGCAGACATCAGTACCCAGCGCTTACCCAGTATCGTCTGAGATGAGCATTAACTCGGACCAGCCACCAAGTCCAGCCAAAGCGAATCCATGACCTTGACTACACCTGACATTGTTCACTACAGCTGAAGAATGCACCTTTGTGGGCAACGCATCCTTCGCAATGTGTGGATCTAGTCCAAATTAAAGTGTTGTTCCCTCGGAATGTAACTAAGCTTGGACAAGCGTTCTATCATTCACAATTCCACTCCGGGAATGTGAGTTTTGGCATATGAGTGATGCCAGAGGGCATCTTGGGAGCTGCAAGCCTGGAACTCAGAATGCATATGGAGTTAACCCCGTTATATATCCCTTCCGGACAGGTTGCTGCCACACAGCCTTTCTGTGTCATGTTCAGTCGCCATCATCAGTCAGTGGAGAACACCTTCACAGATCAGCATATGGAGGTGAACAAAACGTGTACTGCTGTGCTTTCTGAACCTGGTTAATTCACTGCGTTTCCAACTGCTCTGTGGAAAGTGTTCAAAGGTCACTCTTCCCCTAAAGGGGTTTTTCCTCCTGAAACAGGGTTGGATCAACTGGCATGGCGCATGCGTGGAAATGCAGTCCTTCGGAGGTACAGATCTCTAAGCGCAGACGCTCCCAAGCGTGTGATCTTTTCCAGACCAGGTAACTAATTTGTAAGACAGAAATCCAAGCTCACTATCGAGGTGAGCATGAAGAACACAAGAGTTCTGACAAACAAGCCAAGCCATTATGAAAATCAACAGTGTCATTACTTTTAACTTTGAAATGGAAAAACGCATTTTCCTATGAGGCATTCAGATGATTTCCTTGCTACAGGTGTTTAGCCCAAGGGCAAAAGAATTTTTCTGACAATGTCTTTCAGTGCCAAATAAAGCAGGGGTGGGCAAGGAGCCCTGCTCTATCTTGCCCGAGAGATGCAATTCAAGGTGCTGTTCTGGTCTTCACTCAGACTTCACTGCCATGGCAACCAGCTCCTATTGGAACGTACGAGTCCTCAAAGCGACCCCCCACTTTCCCTGTGCTAGAAACTTCAGAATGACCAAATGTTTTGCAAGCTTCAGGATGACATCAAATGTTTTGCAAGCTTGCTAGAAGGATTGGGGCTTTTTATTTTATTGTTTACAAAAATGCAATATAGTGTACAGCCTGGGAACTCTCTTAGCTTGGCTCAAACTAGAGTATCACATGGTCAACGCTCCAAACACTCACAGCACGTCATCACAAAGGCTGCACTGCATCAGTACAATGGTCTGCTACTCCGTCCACACAGTGGCAAGCCAGCTGCCCACAGGATCCCCCAAACAGGATGAGTGCAAGGGCTCCTCCTGCCCAGCGCCTCAGCTATGGGGTATGCAGGCAAGCCAGCTCAGGTGAAGGAGGGAGCACACAGCCAAGAAGACTAGTAGCCACGGATAGCTTCCTTCCCTGTGAATCTGTTCAATCCCCTTTTAAAACCATCCAAATTTGGGGGGGGGGGGGGCTGCCACTTCTTGTGGCAGCGAATTCCACAGTTTAACTATATGTTGTGTGAAGAGGTCCTTCCCTTTATCTGTTCTAGACCTCCCACCCACCAACTTCATGGGGTGACTCCACTGGGTTCTGCACAGAGCTGGAATGCATAGCTGTGGACATGGAAACGCAAAGCAACAGGGGCGCAACGAGGCATCTGCAGGGGAAACTCAGTTGTGAGGGATTAGACGAGGCCACAGCTCCGGGGCAGAGAAGGGCCTTGGCCTGCTGGAGCTCCAGAGGACAATCCTCAAGCGATTTCCCGGTAGAGCCAAGAAAGAATCTTGCCTGAATCCACAAAGAAGCACTGTCCCCTGCCAGGCTAGAGGGCTGCATGGTCTGCCTCATTTTAAAGCAGCTGCCTCTTGTCCTAATTATCTTGCCCTGAGTGAGAAGGGTAAGGCAGCACCAGGTGAGGGGCCGCCAAGCAGCTCCTGGTGGCCATCCCTCACATCAGAAGGGTTTCCGAGGGAACATTTCCCCCTGAAGAGGCCGGAGAAGGAAAGATTAGGTGGCAGCTCAGAAGAGAAGGAAAGAAAGAGCATCAAGGTGGCCCAAAGGGGCAAGACACGCAGAGCAAGTCTGGATATAATTGCTTTCAGAATCAGGGAAGAGGGAGTCCAGCCGTGCTGGACGGATCTGTCCTCAGAAGACTCAGGTTCCCAGTCTGGGTGTATTTCCGGATTTAGCCCTGAAATGAAGTACACCCAGGTACTGGCACCACTAAGGCTAATGCGCCAACGCTGTCTGTTCTTAGAGATGCCTGATCCAGCCCGTGACGCACATGCCTTCAGTCAACGCCCCCATCTAGACCAAAGCAGTGCATTCTTTGGGCGGAGCCTCTGAAAATTGCTTGGGAGCGATGGCACATCCACGCGGAGGGCTGTCCCTGGACGGCTCGCTGAGCCCAGAGCAGCAAACAGGGAACTCCCCTTTCACAGCAGCTTCCCTGGCTTCCGATCTGTTTCCAGGCATCAGACAAAGTGCCGGGTGTGGTGTGGCGTGGTGGTGAGAGAGCATGCTGGACTGGGGACCTGAGGGATCCGAGTTCTGGTTCCCACTCAGCCACGGAGCCCACCGGGTGGCTTTTCCTCACTCTCAGCCTAGGCTGCTAACGTGAGGATAAAATGGAGCTGTGGAAGCCACGGTGCCAGAAAAGTGTCAGCTTGCCCCACTTGGTACGGCATTTGACAGAAAGGGACCCCGCCCCCCGCCCCCCCAGAACGTGAACAATGGTGCCGCGTTTTCGCCAGCCCTGTGCGGACCTATTTCGGTGCCCTTACCCCTTTGAATAGCTTTATGCAGCAGGCTCCAGCCCTTCTTGTCCACCATGTCAACATCGGCTTTGTAATTAACCAGGGTGGTGGCGATGCCTTCCAGGCGCCGGGAGAGCGCTAGGTCAAGCGCGAGGTCCCCGTGGTGGTCCAGTTCGTTTAGCTTCCCAGGCAGCTGCAGAACACATGATTGGAGGACAGATGCCGGACAGTGTGGTAACACTGATACGGTAGACGAGTCTAATGTTTACCCCACATTCAATGCCAGTTCCAAAGTAACACACAAGGCGAGAGGTACTGTTTGACGAGAGGAGAGACCAAAGTCCAGTGAGGGATCACTTCCTATGTCTATACAGAGGTTCAAGCCCGGCTCGAATCATTCTATGCTGGAAAGTCAAGAAAAAGCTTGGCAATCAGGAGGTGAGTGAAGACTCAGCTGGAAGGTGAATCGTCTGAACACAAGAGACGGCTTCATACGGCCTTCCCCGCAGTGGTGCCCAGACCATGGAATGCGCTCCCCAGAGAGGCCCGCCTGGCGCCAACATTATACTCCTTCCGGCACCAGGTCAAGAACTTTTAATTCAACCATCATTTTAATAATCAAGGGTTTTAGATGCTTTAAGATTTTTTTTCTTTCCTCACAGTCGCATTTTTTATTTTCTCCTTACTTTTCTTTTTAGTTTATGAAGCTGTTTTATTTGGTTTTAATAACTGTGGTTTTATTATCATATTATTCTAATTTTATACTATCTAAGCCATTCTGAGCGCTTGTCGGAAGGATGGGATACAAATGATTGTAATAAATAAATAAATGAGAGGAGAAAGAAAATACCCCGAGAAGAAAAGTTCAATTAGAGAGATTAGAAATCATCATATACTAAGTAACCATTTATACCTGGTTGTTCAGAGGGTTTTTAAAACAAGTCAGTCGCTGTTTTGCTTTCTTAAGATGGTCCATGCATGCTAAAAATATTCCAAAAACCCCACCCCAGGGCAGACTGCCAAGAGAAGAGGGGACAGCTCTCCCCATACCTGTGCATCCATCTCAATAAGGTACAGGAAAACAACGTCTTCTCTCTCCACTTTAATAGCTTTGTGCAACGGGAACTCCGTTTTCGATTTGAACATCTTATATAAGAGCTGGGCGCTCATACTGCTGAAGTCTTCTTTCCTCAAATCATCCTGGGAAGAACCAGAAAAGACATCAACGCTTGTCCTGCAAATCACACGGTTACTTAAGTGCTTCAGCGCTGCTTACAGTGGTTGAACCTGTTCCTGTGGCCGACAAAACATGACCTGGATGCAGCCTAGTTTATCTGCCAGTATCTCCTATTTTGCCACCCTCAATCCAGGTTTTATAGGGGCAAAACGCCAGTTCTAAGATGTGTGTTCCTGGACTGCTCTGGGAAGAAAGAAGGACTCCCTTCATTCATTAGTGCAGCTTACCCCAACCTGCCCCCCCAAGAGGTTTAGGAGTGTAAGAGCCATAGTGAATGGGAAGGGGGGCAGTATGAAGCCCAAAGCATCCAAAGGGCACCAGGCTGGGAAAGGCTGCATTACAGCTTCTCCCCAAGTAGGATTATTGTACTTTTGAACACAAATGTGTGCAAAGGGTCATAGTCAGCACTGTCCCATTCCAAACCGATATGTTTGGAATATTCCAGGATATGCCAGGGTGACGAACTTTAATGAACTCTTCTCCCATGCCATGAAACACTTCCACAGAAAAAAGCCCCTCAGAAATGAAGTTCTAGCTCAATATTTCTATGCCAGAAAATTCCTGTTTGCTGTGCAAGCCGCAACTGCTGTTGCCAGTAATAAAACATCAAATGCGTATACCCAAGGCAGTCACCACTGACAGGAAAGAAATTACGTGAGTGAAACGCTCCCTCATCTTAAAAACAAAACTCTCCTTGCATGTGGAAAAGCAACAGGCCAGCAGAGAATTTTAAAGACAGAATATCCTTCTCTTTGATCTGCCACCTTTTCCACATGCAAGGCGTGCTTTGCGTCTACCTGTCCCAGCATTCTAACATGCAATTCCTCAAGCAGCTTCTGGAATGGAACAACCCGGCAGTGCAAGCTCAAATCAATTCCTCAAGGGTCAAAGCAAAATAAGCATGAGATCAGTCAGATTTTGAACAGGGCTCTGCTTCAGAAACATGAGCAGGGGTTACATCTTTGCTCGCTAGAATTAAGCATGCCAGGTTCTCAAATAACACCTTCCTCAAACATCTCACACTCCTGTCCTTCGATGCTTACCCAATGACTAGCGATGATCTCCGCACAGTAGTTCATCAAGGTGCTGGCATTCAGCTCTTCGGCAGTTTGATAGAATCGGATGCAGTTCCTAACATTTACAAGTGACATGACTCCTTTTTCACACCTACCCAGACAGACACAGAAACCAGGACAAGGAGTTAGCAAACTGGTGTCGGTGGGGAATTTACGAGGAGATAATTTTTATTGCTGGAGACACGCATAGCTAAACAGAAGGAAAACAGACCTGTTTTGTATCAGTGTAAGATGCATGGAACCTTGGTTCCATAAGGACAAGCAAGACAGCATATAAATGTTAATGAACATCATTATAAAATTCTCCCAGCTTTGACAGCCAAAATACACACGAGTTTCTGGCTGTTTGCTTCCTCCTAGCCCCTTCCCTCAATACACCATAGCTCAACATTTCCTCAATTAATCCATTTCATCCAAACCAGGAAACTATGCTTACCAGACTGAAAATAAACTAGGGGCTGAAACCAACTTCAATCAGTGGTTTCAGATCCTGGCTTCTTCTGAACCTCTTAACTCTAGCTGTCCGGTTTGGATGGAACAGGAGAGCGCATTTCGTTATCCCAGTCAAGGCGCAATCCTAGGCAAGTTTAGACAGGAAAAAAAATGCTTACGATTGCCAGTACTGTCGCTGGACTTTTTCTGTCTAAATTTGCCTTAGATTTGTCTAAGTGTTAAATCATGGTAAATCAAGAAGGGAAGCCACAGTGTGTAATTGCCATACAGCACCAGTTCCAACCATGAGCTTGTCAGGAGAGACAAGCCAGAATTCTTGCCTCAGATGCAACATAAATGAGCGTGCCTATGCAAAAATCCGGGCTGCTGGAACATGTGAACGGAGCTTGTGCGTAAGCTGCCTTGCGAGCTTTTCTTTGGCTCAAATACAGAAATGCAACTTCTGTAAATATGCTACCACAGGATAAATGATGGACTGAATCCATGAAGGAATGGATGGAATGGCCGCCCAGAGAACATGCTGCTTATGGGCAGTGGCTTTTCAACCCATTTAATTAGAGAAAGCAAGCCACAGCCTTGACTCCAGAAGAGCTGAGCAGAGCTTTCATGGGCACTTTGGAGGGCTTCCACTCGTACGCTGCAGGTGTCTTGAGGGCAGAGAACAACAACAATCTGGATGAGCTCGCATGTCATGGGGAACGACTTGACGCAAGGGACCTGAAGGGGAGGAGGTTGGCAGAATGCTCTGCTCTCCATCAACTGAGGCTAAAACAGGGCCAATGGGACAATGCGGAAGGCCCCATGAAATGGGTCGGGATCCGAAGATGAGCAGGGCCAAATTAGGAAGCCAAGGGAGGCAAGGGGACAAAGGGAGGGAACAACAGCGGCCCCCCGCCACTGCCTTGTCCCACCCTCAGACTTGCCCGGCTACAAGCCTAACATTCGTATTGGCACCATTATCACCTCTGTCAAAGTATTCCCAAGCGCAACAAGCGATTCATGATTGCCCGGAATGCTGCCCCGTTCATGTTGCAAGGAACAGGCAGATTTCCAAACTCACAGCATGATCTAGCAAAAGCAACAGTGTTAGCAAGATCTCGCAGAAGAGAAGGTGCTGCATGTCACTCTAGTACAGGCAACACCCAGCCCAGCCCAGCCCAGCCCCAAAGTATCTCTTGCATCTTCCTTTCCTGGGAAGGAGATCCAAGTTCTGATCACGGACGCAGGTGCATTGCTAGGACTGCCCAAGCTCGGGGTCTGGAAAGCGGCAGAGCAGCCGTGATTTGTGCGAGGACAAGCGGCGGCGGGCTCTCCGCAGTGCATTCGGGCACTTACCTCTCTCTGAGCAGCTGCAGCTGAAACCGGTTTGCCAGCTTCATCAGCTCTGTCAGGAACACGTCGTCTTCGCGCAGCTCCAGTTCATCTGTGTAGATCCAGCGCAGCATTGCCACAGCCACCTCGGGGTCAGCATCTGGAAGAGGAGCGAGAGGCCCTTTACTCCTGGGAGGAAAACCTCTCAAGCCTGACAACAGTGGTGGCCTTTAGGGGGCTCTGGGTCAAACTCAGCCCGCCCAGCCGGTGCTACGCCACGCATGCCACTCCCGTGGCTAGATGCAGAGTCGATGGAAGGCGGTGAAGGAGCATTTTGGAAGGGTGAAAGTGATGCATGCTTGGGGGAACTATTCCAGCCCTGAACTGTTTAAACTGATGTGCGGCGCTGAAGCTTGGACTGGGAGGTTTCCCCTGGGTGGGAATCGCATTCATCTGTGACTGATGTTCACCCTGTGGAAATGCAGGCCGACCCTGGTGTGGGAGAGGGAGCACATGCTTTGTATGCAGCATACCCAAGTTCCAGCTGACACCTCCAGTTTTACAAAGAGCCTTATAGTCTCCTCTGAGACCCAGAGGAGATGCTGCTGCTCTGAGTAAACACTGCCCAAGGTGGACCAAATGTTTGACTCCAAGTAAGACAGAACTGTAAGCATGCACCTGTATGCTTTCCCAACAAATGACAAATTTCCCATTTCCCAACAATTGGTGGCATCTTCTGTACCAGGTTGCCCCAGTCTAGGACCCTCCAGAAGAGTTGCCCTGCCACTCCCATCATCCCCAGATGGCATGCTGCAGCTGAACACAGCTGGAGGACCACAGGCTGGCCAAGACTGCTACAAACCATCTCTTTCCTTGGAGCTAGCAACAAATGCTAAAATTTCATTTTCAAATGGAAATGAAGAGCATCTCCGAGAGAGGGCCACCTACCCACCCCTGACAGAAGATGCCTTGCGACAGAGAGGCAATCCCAACCTCCATCTTGTCTGGCCTGGCTTCAGTCTTCACTTGGCAGGAGAGATGGACAAATGATGGACACGCCACATCATTAAAAATAATGAGCAGGTGCTTGCTCTGCCCAGCACTTATCAGGCCTGCTAACGAGCTGACATTCCAGTCATGTGTCATATCAACACATATTTGCCAAGTAGCCATTCCCCAAATAACCATACCAGGACTTGTCTTACTGTTCCTTTGGGTTCCCCATAACTTTTGAGCTTACTGTAGGGGCAAACACCCACTCCTAAGGATCTGGTCCCACGGCTGAACTCTGAGGGCCCTCGAGCAATTGAATCAAGAGCTATCTTCCTGTGACCAGATCTAGTCCAGCCTCTGGGTCTGTGGAGAACAGGGCTTTCTGCTTGTCTATTCGATAGTCCTTCAGGTCCCTGTCACTTCTCCAGGATCAAGAATTGGCTCCTTTCAGGTCATGTTTGTCCCACTCCTGGCCAGCGTCGCTGCCACACTCGTGCTTTGGATCTCTAGCATAGCAAGACACTCGCAGTGAACGGCTTTCTTGCCACACACACAGACAAACCTTGCAATCATTCATGGGTTCCGATGGCTGCAAACACTGAGTGCTGCTGCTCGTACCGTTCACAGAGGCCATTACACTATTCGGGGGGGTAGCAGTGCTCCCCTGGGGTCCCCCCGGCCCCCCGGAAGCCCCTTCCTCCTGCCACACGCGAGACACAGGCAGCCAGCCGTTTCCAGCCAGGCCACAGGCGGCTGAGGGCACACTCTGAAAGGCCATCGGCTCCTGCCTGCACGACGGCCATTTCGAGGAAGGTCAGGTGGTCACCGGGCTGCTCCTTGGAAGCTGGCCATGGCCTGGTTTTGAACAATGGGCTTCCGCTTCCCTGGCTGCTGGTTGTGAGAAGAACCGAGCAGCAATACGAACTGGTGCCTGGGATTTCTTTACCGCTGAGTCTGCTTTTTTTTACTGTTTTTAGATTTAAAAAAAAAAAAGATCAGTAATACCTGTAAGGTTTGTTTAGTGCAAAGCGCCTTGGGAAATATGCCTATTCAGTAAGGTGGCACAGGAGTCTAAAAAAAGTATGCAAATACTTCTGAGCTCAAGATAGCAGTGAAGTGCTTGTAATTTAAAAGAAATACTTGTGGTTTCAGAGTGGCTGTGAAAAAGATGCACAGTCATTTTATGGCTGTGAATGTTCCAGAAGCAAGCGGGGGTGGGGGGGCGCCCCACGTGCCTCAGGAACCTGTAATGGTGATATTTATAGTTGTGCTGCAAGGTGGGTACTGGCTGCCCGCCCACCCCCTAGAAAGAAGAGCTAGCTGGCTGAAAGACTAATATTAGAAATAGTGTTACCAGCCAGAAATGGAAGGGCAAGACACCCAGAGTATGGCGCACTAAACCAAGTTACTGAAAAAGAAAATCTGGAGAGAAGCTCACTGCCCCACCATTCTGTGACCAGTTGTCCTGCGCCCCCGCCCCACGGAGAACAGATTTCCGTTTGGCACGGAAGTGGACATGTAGCGGGGCACCCCCCTCTGCCCGTTTTCTTCAGAGTGCTCCAAACATCAGTCTGAGGCCTGCGCAAAATCCAGTTCAAGCACCCACCTCAGCCATGAAGCTCAGCTGGGTGTCCAGGGGCCAAGCAGCACACTCAGAAGCAAAAACACTCGTCAAAGGTTACTAATGTGCATAGGCACCGTGTGCCAACATAACTTGAGAGATAAAAAGTCAGAATTGTCTGCACCAATCCTGCTGCAGATTTTCCTGAAAAATTTCAAATGCTAGAATCAAGGTCTGCAGTGCTGCGCCCTACCGCCGTTTCAGGAAACTCATGCTCCTATTTCCAATCAGAGCGAAGAACAGGGATTCCCCAAGATAGCCTTTCTCCAGCACTGTACAAAGCTCCACTCATACCCTGATCACTGACTGGAGAGGTGTTTTAAATCTTTTAATACCTGCTGGGTGTTTAAATTTACATGCCTATACACTGCATGATGGAGCTGTGTTCCACGCTCCCAAAAGCTGCGGCACCAGTGCTCATGCCGCTTGAACCAGCACGCGTGGAGCTGAGCCACGGCCCCCCGCACACTGGGTGGGAAAATTTCCCAGGAAATGCCAACTCCATTTGGCCCGCCCGTGCGCTTTGTACCTCTGCACCACCCACTGTCCTTGTGCCTCTTCCACGCCTGATCCCTGCCGAGACCCTTTCAAAATTGGAACTTGGTCCCTGGGTCCAAAAGGGGACATCGCAAAAGCACTCAGAGAATTGGACTCTGATTGAACATGCTCAGCGCGTCTCTCACAAACAAAACTAAGATTTTTCATTTTTGCGTCGTTAGAAGCATTTTCCTATCGCCCTAGGCATGTGAATCAAAATGCATGAGCAGGAAAGAACTAAGGCAAACTGAGGAGGTAATCCTGCACCACTCAACTCAATGGGACTGAATAAGCATCACTCAACTCAATGGGACTGACTTCCAAGTGGATGTTTATAGGACCTCAGACTTGAACATGGTCTGCACGTCCAATGTTTAGCCTGGAAAATATCTTTATGGTGATACTTGTTACATGCTAACACTTAACAGCTCAATGCCATACATTTTATATTTTTAAAACTGAAAAAAATTAAAACCCTGAAATTATGTTTATTTTGTGTAATGTTTCCAGTAATTTTAAGTTACTACAATCTGGAATTGAAGAATGAAATATATACTACCAATTTTAGGAATGTGAGTACTGGACATGCTTGTGAGAAGCAGATGCTAGACAAGTTTGGAAATGTCAGATTGGCATGGTACGTTTTCTTTATTATTTTTGTTATAAAAATATCTTCTTAGAAATGAAAAATTATAAGGAAAAAGATTCTGGAAATGTTCCCCCTGCCACATCGCCAATCCTTGACTAGCGAAAATTTCCCTGACACACACAAGTCTCACACAACCCAAACAGAATGACGCATTATATTTTCAACACACCTAATACCTAATGTTTTCTAGATAGTGAAATTCAGCTCATTTTAACCTGCCTTACTTTACAACACAGAACTCAGCAGGGTTATTTTGCTCTAGCCAATTTAAATGCTAATTTAAAATCAATTCACCTTGGCCAGTACGATTTACTCTCACCAAGGAATTATTTTCAGGAAAGAAATGGGCATGCTGAGAAGCTTTCCAGGCAAAGGGGAGCAAGGTGGAACAGCAGAGAGAAGCAGCCCAAGTAAAGGAACGCAACCCTCCAAAGATAAAGAGACTGGCGTTGTCACAGTTTCCTTACATGAAACTACTACAGAGGCTGCTTTGACAGAGCAGCTCTCAAAACAAAAGGAAAAATCAGGCTGTTTCAGACAGCTTTGTTTCCTTGCTATGTCATGTTCTTGCTCAGAAAGATGAACGGGGCCCCCACACTTGGCAGGCACACCATTAAAATGGAAGAGGGACGGGTCACTGAGTTATCCAGCTTTCAACAGTGAGCTCGCAGTGCAGGTTGGCATCTTCTGGAGACAAAAACTTCATAATTAATGGATCAAGTGCCTCTTTTGGCAGGCAGAGCCCCCTGCCCCCACCCCTCCTGAAGGAGGAGGCAGCCTCCTCTCCTAAACAGGCCTTTCATCTTTTTAAGGCTCTTTCTTCCCAAGACAAAGACGGCATCTCTCCCCACTCCACCGCCAACGCACATACAGCCAGTCAGAAACCAACCTGACATATCCAGCTCCTCGGTCGACACCAGGTTGGCCAGACTCCAAGTCTCGCTGCGGGCTGCCAATACAAATTTGTGAGCGCGGATGCACTTGTCTCCAACCTTTATCTTCAGGTCACTGAAGAAATACAACAGACACGCATGCGCACCTGTGCTTAGATGACTTGGTGAACTCCACATCTTTGCAATGAAATCTCAGACAGTCTACTGCGGAGAAATGTGCTCCTGCATTTGGGGGAGGAGGCAATCACAGGATGCGGGTTTCCACCATGCTTCTGCACAGGCTCTAGGCTTCTCTTAATCCCAGGTAGCCCCCAGAGACCCCCAACACTCACTGCTGGAGAAAGAATGGGAGGGCAGGTTCCCCGCCATGTCAAGCCACCCTGGAATTGAGCTACAATGCACCAAGCACTGTGAGAACAACATGTGACGTGCCTGACAAATTATTAGGCATGTTATGGGTCGCCCCCCCGCCCAAGTCTCCTTCCCCTCAAATCTGCCGGACAGCATCCCAGGGGACTCTGCAACTCAAGCTATTATCCTGCTGCAATCAACAGCCAAATGGGGGTTTTTTGTGTTCGCCTCTGGGCCCCAGCACCAACTAATTTTTCTACTGTAGGAGCCTGGGAAGACAAGAAAGTAAAGCCCGCCCTCCTTTACCAGAACATCAAGGTCTGCTGTCAAAACTCTGGCTTCATTTAAAAGGGATATGCATGATTCTTTCATAGGGACAAACACACCCAGGACAGCTTGCAGGCATGAGAACCTATCAAGGGAACACGAAAAGCCCAGCGGATCCCAGTGCCAAGGGGAAAGGAATCCCTCCAGCCCCCTTTTGTAAGGCAAGGACAACCGGTTTCTTTTCTTCGAATTAGCAGCTCACATTCTGACAGCTGTCAAGACGAAGTACAGTAATGACGATAGTAATGAAATATCTACCGGAAGCCTCTTTGGTTCATTGCCTATTGCTGTTGTCTGTTGTACTTGGATGATGGGTAGTCTGGCCACCCCAGGGCAGCAGCCAAGTGAGGCTTTCCATTTCCACACCCACAGAAACACGCACAACTGCACCTCCAGATTCACACAATTCCAGCATTTATTTTTAAAGAAATCAGGCAAACTATGTCTGCGTATTTGAGACCATGAAACGCAAACTGGGTAAAAGCAGGAAAAAATGTGAGGCAAAACCGTTCCTGGTTGGAGTAGCAGAGGCTGGGGAATGATGTGGTGCTGATTACCCCTCCCTACCTCTTGTGCACTGGTGGGCGAGGGGGCACCGACGACTAGGCAAGAGCGTGTTGGACTGTGGGCAGTGCTCACAACCCAAGGCACCGACGCTCGTCTGGGCTCAGGCCACATGCCACACCACCATGGGTGAATTTATCTCTACAAGAGACCTTGGGTCTTCAGGGTGGCTCGCTGGGACAGAAAGGCAACTCTGAGGCAAACAGTCCGGGTTAGGCTATCTGACTATCCACCACGATTCGTTGCCAAGTTCCATGAACTACATGATGGAGTGCATGCTTGAGAGTGCTAGAACCGCAGAAAACGGGAGAGACTCTAACTCGTTCCTCTTGTAATTAGGGGCTTTCTTGCAATGGGTTAAACAAAGCACTGGCTGCCCCGAATGAACAGGAATGCTGCTTGCAACACACTCGCCACTTCTGCTTTTAATCATCAGCCTATGCTCCAGGTTGTTGAGTGTGATGTCCAAACCCTGACCAATGGGTTGTTTGGAGGCTAAGCATCCTATTGGTTATCCTAAACTGAAACCATGCATCAGATACTGGGTTGTTTAATCCCTAAGCATCTCCATAGTCTGGGTTTGGACATCACATCCCAGAACCTATGAAGGAACTGACCCTGGCTGTGGTGGGTGGTGTGGAAGGTGGCACAGTCACCCTGTTTGGCTTATGCAGTACATGGACTCATGGGTCATTTAAGCCACAGGTTCTCATTATGTGTGAACCAGATCAATGTGCCTGGGCCTTCCAAACACCTACAACTGAAGCAGATTGAGGTTGCTTGCTTACCTGAGTGAGATGGTGCAAACTGGTGTCCTGCAACAGCAGGGGGTTGGACTTGATGGCCTTCTTGGCCCCTTCCAACTCTACTATTCTGTGATATTTTTTAAAAATACCCCACCATTACAGAAGAAGTTCTAATCTTCCCTTTCCCTTAGGCTCACGTTGGCAATAATTACGAGTTCACAGCTTAAAATTATTCTAAATTTTAGAGTCACGATAAAAATGTACAAAGTTGTGCCTATTGCAAAGGATGCAGACAAGAGAAATTTGGTTCATAAGTTTTAGTATACTCAGTTAAATTAAGTTGTTTTTTTTAACTTTCAGAAAAGCTCTCTAGATTGATCAGGCAGGAATTTTACAACTTAGAATTTTATTTTGCTTACGGGTATTGTGCACCATCCTTTGGCCAGAGAGAGAAAAATATTATGCTACACATAGAATATCTATCTGAATCCTATGAAAATATTTAATGTATGGAATTCCCTTCCATCGAATGTGGATGGAGGCAACTGGTTCAGGAAGGAACTGGACAGGTTCACAGATGACTGGTCCACCGGTATCCATGAGCAATGAGTTTGATACAAAGCTCCATTTCAGAAGACGCACTGCTATTAGGAGAACAAACACTGAGGGTTCTTGCCTTTAGGCCTAGCTTATGGGCTCCCAGAAGCATTTGGCTGGCCGCTGCATGAAACCGGATGTTGTCTCTTCCGGTTACGACATCTGGTGGGAGCACTGGAAGCACAGTGTTCAAGAGCTGAAAACGCCTCCTTGGGTCATGTGTCTCGCAGTGCATGAAGGACAAAAGGGAGAGCCTGCCTCATGTTTTATCACTGCACAAGCATCTGGCTCAGATTGGGTCTATCACCAGCACTGTCAACACGTGATGCAAGCTGACAGACAGCCTGTGGATTCAGCAGAAATGAGGCGCACTCAGCCAAGTTCGACAGAACAGTTTGTGCATTACGAAATTTGCTGTTAGAAACGAACCAAAAAGCATGAGTGGTAAGTAGTAGGGTGTTTGCCTTCCTTTTTCCTTAAATGAAAAAAGAAAAGCACCAAAAAGAGATACTTCCACTTCGGAAGAATAGGAAGCACTTAAGAGGCAAAGCAAAAGCATAATTACTCAAGATAAATATTTTGCTTCAAACTGATTTAAGTACTAATGCAAAGAACAGGCTTTTTGGCCCAATTTCATGGCAATACCCTGTATTTATGCATTAGGTGCGCGGCAGGAGTTCTCAACCACTATGGAGATGTGGACTCATCGGAGAATTTAAGAAACTACTGTGGACACCATCACAAAATATCAAAATAGGAGATTGCTGCTTTTGGTGTAACCCTGCTGCAACTCCGGATCTCAGGCCTCATCTTATTAAGCAAAAACTTTTCTTGTGCATCTATTTGACATGGTGTCACCTCTTTAATAAGGGATTGCCAAATTCAGTTATTGCTGGCAGTGCAATACGGGTGATGCTTCCTTTAAAAATATGTTTTGGCCATGTCTAGTAGTTGCTTCTTTCCGGGAGGAGGTTACTACACAAGTAAATATACTGGAATAGTCTTTAATATTCACTGATGTATAGGCTCTTTTAAATTATTTACTTTCCTCGTGGAAATTAAATGGGAGGGGAAATGGATGTTCACACTTCTAACAGCTAAAGTGCTCATTGCCAAATGGAAAGGATAAACTTTACATAAACATGCACAAACATACCACAGAATGGATTGGGGATGCAGCAAGAACTCCAACATGATGAATGGGTGGTATGCAGGCACCATCTTCAAAGGGATAGTTATTTGGATACTCATTTATTTTTAAATTATACGCTGCTGAATAACCCAAAAGGGCTCTCTAAGCAGCAAACAACAATAAAATACAGGCCAGTGTTACAATTTCAAGTTATTGGGAGGCCGGAGGCAGTGGGGGAAGAGAAGGGAAGAAAACTTGCTGGTAGAAGAGTGAACTTTTACCATCAGTTGGTAAAATCAAGTCTTGGAATACCTGTGAAAGAGGACAGTTTTCACCAGGGGCTGAGATGAAAGTAGTGACGGTGCCAAGTAAATCTCTCTAGGAAGCCCATTTCAAAGGTGGGAGGATAGCCTGTGCTTTGAGTACTGAAACCAAAGCCTCCATCACCTATGACTCTGAAACCACTGCCCATGAGCAGTCCGTAGAGTCCCCTCTTGCTCTTTACAGGGTGTACTTTATGCAGGGAATTTGGTGAAGACTTAAGAAGGTAAAAATCTGGCTCAGATGTTATAGTTACATCATCCTAATTTTAATTAAGAGCAGAATCGTATACATGTTTAGGGAGAAAGACCCCCTACAATTCCCAGTATGCCTCACACGCATGCACAATGCAGCGGAAGCTGCAAGACACGCTGTGGCTGCATTTGGTAGTGATTGTACAGTAGGAGAACCAGAGTGTACTCCCACCTTCACTGCCCTTCTTCCTGAGCCCGTTTCTTACCTGTACTGCTCCTGCTCATACAGGTCAGCGACGATGGCAAGCAGTCGGCTGATGAAAGAGTCGCTGGCGCTCTCCTTGTTTGACTGTGCCGCCAGCAGCGTGCATTTCCGCTCCGTCTCCGTCAGCTTCTTCTGCAGCTTAACATATTCCTGACGGAGAAGCATCAGGTGTTTTTCCAGTTTGACCACCTCCTCTGCCAACACAACAAAAACACAACACATCAGAAAGGGGGGCAGCTGACGAGTGGTACGGCGTGTGTGCCCTCTGCAGAAGGCTCTAGACTCAAGTACCACCATTTCAAGGTGACCTCAAAATTCGGACTGGCAGAGCAGGCCCTGCTTGCAGAGACAGAGCTATCAGCTAAGGCAGCTTTAAATGCATAAACCAGCCAAATCAAGGAAATCCCTCAGGTCTTCCTCTTTGTGTTCAGTTCTTTTGGGGACCAGTTTACAATTAATTCATCTGAGCGACAATCTTCTATGTTCTTACGTGGAACAAACAATGCTGAACAAGGCACCCTAGTCCAGTGCAGCTTCCCAGGCGGAGCTGCAGGGCAGGCCCTGTTGAAGGCTCACCCTAATAGTCCTGTGGCCGCACCTGTCACAGGTCCAGTAATACGCCTTTGATCATATCTCCAAAGCGACAGCGCAAACTTTTTGTGCCAAAGATGACTGCACTTACATGCTCCTTGCGAGCACTTCAATCAGCTAAATTTTAAGCATGTTGCAAATGTCACAAGATTTCCAACTGTTAAGATGGTGAAGAGCTGGGAGGTTGGGTGCATTTGCTACCAAGAGCTTCTTTAATTACAAAACCCAGGACATGAGAACTGACCCTCTCCTGAGAAGATGGTTGAGAACTCTACGAGAAAATCAAGTTCCGTTGCTTACAGACAGCAAAGGGTAGTGATATTGATCAAAGAACTTCCAATGAATAATTCAGTTTGCCTTGCATCTAACGCTTTTATCTGCAGCAGCAGCAAAGGACATGCAACGTTTCTGAGTCTTTTTATTCGGTTGCATCGCACAGCAAGTTGAGGTCACTTATTCAATAGTGGGGGAAGAGCAGCGGCTAAATGAAGCTTTTCAGGAGATGAAGAAAGGGAAAATATAGGTTGCAACACCAGTTTAAATGTCCTGCCTTTCCCTTCCAGCCCAGCTACGGCTCTGACAATCCAGAGATTGCAATTGTCACCACACTGTTCAGTTTCACTCAAGCAACTCACTGGCAGAGGATTAAGACTCACCTTGGTCTTAGCATGACAGCATATTTTTTACCCATTTGTGTTCATCTAATCAGAGGGCAGTGTTCTTGCCTGTACAGCAGAACTCGTCAGCTTTATGTTATGCAGCTTTCAAGGCCTCCCTGAAAACCTTCCTGTTTACCTGGCTCACCCTAGAGAGTCCGGCTCCCGTTTCTACACCATCTGAGGCAGGGACGTGTTTGCCAAAGACGGGGGCTTGCCAGCTGCAGCACCTTGGCTTGAACACCTGGCTTCTTCCATTGATTTTGGGTAGCCAGTTACAGCCTAACCTTTTTGCAGTGCGTCTAGGAAAGTATGTGGACCAAGAGGTCACCCGGGAATGAGTTCTCTCACAGCACTACGTATGTTGAGCGGAACGGCAATAGCAGGGGAAAGAGGCAGGGAAGCAGGAAGCATTGCAGCTGCTGCCAGCAAACGGATGGCTTGGCCATACAGAAGCAAACCTGTGATTGCACTGTACTTGTGCAGCTGTGATTGTGTAGCGTAGTGCCCATGACTGCTCTGCACTACACAGTAACTCAGTTTGTGCATTGCCCAGGGGGCTTTTTGAAAATCCTAGATTATTGTGCATGAAGCAGGAGGGAGTGACTGAGCAAGCATACTGGTCCTTGTCCCCCAGCTATTCCCACTGGAGCTAAGCACTCTACACACTATTAATTATAATGTACAAATCATGACTTCTAGCTTAAATCATGGGTTATTACTTGCTCAATAACCTAGAAATCACACTTAACGTAGCAACGGGCTGTCTTTGGTTTGTTTTGCTTCTCCTGCTTGATGCAGGTGTGACAGGCTAATGAAAGCCAGCACACTCATGTGCTCCCAACTCATTCACAACCATGCAGGGTTCAAATTGAAAAATACTCGGCTTATTGTGACATGTGAACCATGTCAATGGGTAACTGCAGTATCACAACATAGGAGTGGTCTATTACACACAATCATAACTGAAAAGCTATGCCCAAGTATTGGAATAAGATTTTCAAAACAAGGGAATGTGTACATTTAAGACCAGATACAAGACACAACGTTATTGGTGGGTGTCTCTCTTTGTTTTTGCAAGAGCCTTATGGGGGAGAGGCACAGAGAATTACAGCATATTCTCCCAAATGGTTCAAATTCCCCCTTAGCCACAACCCCTGCTCAGTTACTCTGGCCAGAAAGTCTTACTGTATCTACCTCACAGGACTATAACGAAGATAGGAAGATAACTTTTCGCTCTTTTGAGAAAATATGTTATTAAAAGTATGCTAGAAGTGTTAAGGCACTTCTGCATTTTCCAAGTCAAGAAACGAAAGTTGCTTTTTTCCTTACAGCCAGAAAAGGTTAGGAACATGTTTCTTTTAAAAGTAAATGCAAACATGCCGAAGATTTTATTATCACTGAAGCATAACAAGTCTTCTGCCAAACTGCCACAGTTAAGGGCTAAATTCCCATACAGATACACAGATGAGTATCTTTTAGCTAGCTACCCACAAAATGTTGCTAAAAGAACTCTATTTTAGAATGTTTATACCTGCCTTAACCATGAGATCTAGGCATTTATTACATTTACAATTCTACACTGCTCCCTAGGTCATTCCCCTAGCAAAACCATCTGGAATCAGCCGGCTAGGTAGGATTGGAACCACCGTAAAGCAGTGCCTCGAATCCCCAACCTGGCCAGCCTATCCAGAAGGATTTTGGAGGGTTTTCATTCATAGTCACCTTAACTTGGAAACAACTTGACAGGATTTAACAGCAACAACATATATTTAAAACGTTAAAATGCTGAACACACCCATACAATCCAACTTCCTATCTGTCTTTAGATATTTTTATTTAAAATATTAAATGATTGATTCCATTTGATAGCTTCCAATGGCAAAAGCTCTGTGGGTGGTTTACAAAAAATTAAAATCTTAAACATAGAAAATAAAATGTAACATTAAAAACACGCATATGCAGGAATTAAAAATGTACATACAATTAAAAACAATCAGCAACAGAAATCACAGGACTGGATGAAACCTTATCATGAGCTGTAAAAAATGCATGGCAGTAGAGGAAATTCTTAACCTGGTGCCAAAGAAATGATGTTGTGGGAGCCATGCAGACCACACTGGGAAGAGTATTCCAGAATAAGGGGGCAGCCACCAAGAAGGCCTCTCCCTTGTTAGCATCCTGGAATCTTCCCCAATGGATGCACCTGGAAGCGAGTTCTTCCTGCTACCATCCTACACTACAAATTCATGCATGCACACTTAGAAAGGAGGGACACATTAAACACCTGCCACCATAATCCCATTTAGTGGTGACCATACTTGAAGCTAAGCATGTGGCCACAACACTGTGCTGATCGCAAATGGTGTGGCAGCACACGCTGCAAAGGAAGACGGCATTCAGCAAACTTTACACATCTCATGTTACACCGGCAAAGCAACAGCCCATCAATCCTGGAACGAGAAGACTGCACTGAAGTACCTATTTTTATTTTGGTATTTTCTATAAAAACTACTTTTCAAGTCCTGGAAAAGTGAGTGGAAGCCACACAGATCCCCGAGCTGGAAGTTTAAGACTGCAAATCTCAAAAGCTTCAAATGAACTGATAATCACAGCAGGAAGCACACAACATTCTAAGCAGGCAGGTACAAGGATTATGGATGGGCCTGCCTGTCAATTTCAATTTCTCTTCATTTCCCATTTTTCCATTCCTCAGTTCCTTCCATCCTATTTATCTTTCAGTTTGCAATGCTCAAGTTGGTCAGCATGATCTGATGCACATATTTGTGCACATTTATCTTAATATGCATACTGCTGTAAGTATTTTGCCTAACAAAGAATTCTGCAAGCAGTTCTCTCTTGCGTGAACTTTTCTGCATACCTTCCCACTACCGTGTGTGTTTGCATGTGCATGTTTTGCTTAAGGATCTGCATCACAAAGTTTTGAGGCATGTCATTAGTGAAGGGTAACTGTGCCAATGATTGATCTGGGTACTGCTAATTTGGTACATTCTTATCAAGATGAAAAATGAACGAAACTCCCCCCTGGCCCTACATCAATATACAAAATCAAGAAGATAACTAGGACTTGGGTTGCAATAAAAAAATCCCTTAATTAAAAAATGTCAATGAAATATTATATTGCCTGAAACTTGTAGGGTAGTTTTATAAAGTACCAAATGTTGCTCTCTCTCTGCTTTAAAAGTCTAGAGTGACATTTCTAGATGCCCAGGAATCTGGGATTTAATCATTCTTTGAGCAACACAGACTTGAGTAAACATTAAATAATTGTTCTTAGGAAAGTACCATGACAGAATTTCTATAAAAACTGATCTCTGTAAGGTAAAATGCTATAGCCTCCCAATTTTCAGTAAATACAAAAATGTGTTTTTAACTGCTCACCTAAACACAGAAGCCTTATTTTTAAATATAACTTTCTGTTAAAGCACCGCATGTGGCTGGTGGGTCTCAGAAGCAGCATTCTCTAACTTACTCACACACGGAAGAGAATGCCTCTTCCACGACAACAGCCATGATGTGCCCAGGTTAAAAGCAAAATGTGTGCCCCTTTTCTTCATAACTGCTGATTCACATGCCCATTTGCTCGTACTGTCTATTTGGTCAACTGATTAAACCCCAAGAAACAGTTTGCAAAGGTTGGTTAAAGTGGGTGAAGGTCCCAGTTGTTGCAAAATGGCCCTTCACAGCTTTACCCTGAAGCCCTATTTGCTTCTGAAACATTTTTCCATCCACACTTAGCTCTGCTTATCTAGCACCATCTGCTCACCCAGTGCACAGCAGACAGACTAACTTAAAACACTACAGGAATACGAAGGAAAAGGGAACGAGCTGATCTTCTCATAATGAGAGTCTACGCTTTTTATTCTTCAATGAAACTTTCTGCGAAAAAGAAAATGGAAACAGTAAGATCTCTGGCTGTGGGAGGAAGTCTGGGAGAAGCTGCAAGATCATACATTCCAGCATACACATGAGCATTGCACAAAGTTGAATATTGCTTTTAGTTTAAAAAAAGGCTGCAAGTCGAGGGACAGTTTCCTGGAAGTAAGCACTATTCAGCTTTCTCAGTTACTTCTGAGTAGGCATGTCTAGAATTGCACAGTAAATGTCTTTGAACATCAAAGGGAAGTGTGGTGTAAGAATTTAAAATCAACATTTTCTGCACATTGCTACACAAAGGGTACTATCTGATAACCTTTCAAGTGGACATGACCAAATGACTGATACAGCCATCCTGATCAAAAGCTTTTCTTGTTACATTATCCACAGAAAATATTCCTATAGGGCTCCCCCCCCCGCACCCCCAGTATCTCAAAGACAATTATGTGGACAACATTTCCAAGATCACCCATGGGAATCATGCCTCCAGGGAGACTTAAAACCTGTTTGCTTTCAATCCAAACCCAACAATCTGGGCACCACATCATACTGACTTTCAAACAGAAAAGATTTCACAACAACCATTTTGGCTCTTCTCTGGAAGCAGAACAGAGGAAAAGCAGCTAAAATATCTCTGAACAACCTGAGATACACAGAATTAGGAGGGTGAAGGCCACCTTGGGACAACATATTTAAATCCCCACTTTGCTATCAAGCTCACCAATATGGGAGAGTGTCTCGGCCAAGATATAACTTCATCTACTTACCAGGCTAGGTAAATAGGTAAATATCAAGCTAAGTTCCCTGGAGGAAAGGTAAGATGAAAGATACAATGGGAGTTTGCACAACACGGTAAGCCACTGTGGTTTACCACCATTGTTGGTCTGTTGTTTTGTCTGAACCCGCACGGCATTTCAGTTTGGTCTTTAAAAACCATGCTGTTTTGCATTGCTGTCAGAGTCCTCCTTGCTCTGCTCACCTCCTGCCTCAAAGAAAGGCCTAACCTACCTCACACAGTTGTTGTGAGGATGAATTGTATAAAAGTAATAACAAGCAAGCTGGGTGATGTTGGGCCCATCACCATTTCTCAGTCTAGCCTATTTGAATGTTACCTTAGAAAGAAGCAAAAAGGAGGTATATCTCTGCCCCAAGAAATTTACAATTATTATGGTAATTTATACAGAACCCTTGGGGCACAAGTTTATGCCAGTGTAGACAAAAAAGATGTACAGTTCTGGGCATGCCCCAGATAGTACGGCTTCACTAAGAGATAACCGCAAGCCTCTACAGAAAAGCGGGTGTTAAAGAGAGGACTGAACAACAACAACGAACAAAGCAGCACAAGAGAGTTTACTTTAGCTTCCTGTTTCGCTGAAGCTGTGAGCACTGGGTTAGTGTGTGCCTGTTATGAGGATGCCCATTCATAAAATGGGCTCTGGTGGGTACTGCTAAGAAAACACACGTCACAAATCCACAAGCTGGTGACACTCATAGCAAGTAATTCACCCAAGAACCTGAATACTTACACAAGTGGATTTTCAGTCCTTGAACAAATCCTTAGCATCCACAATTCTCCCTCCCATTCAAGATTTCACTTTTTTATCCCACAGTGAATAAGACTCACTCACCCCAGTTGCTCCTTTCTCTTTTTCAGGATCATCCTAGCCCAAAAAAAAGATCTCTTGCTGACACATAAGAACATAGACACCTTCCTTGCTTTCTCCATCGCAATTATTCTTGCTCTCCACAGTCCCTCCCACAATCTCCCAGCTTCCTCCTTCCATGGGCCCAGTTGCCATCCAGCCCTCCATGGGTTCACTCCCAGCTTCTCTCCAGTTTCCTCACTCCCTACCGGACAACAGCTGTGGGTTCTATCCCCTTTCTTCCTTTGCATTCTCCCTGCACCTGCTGGAGCACTTCAAGCAAAGGTCCACCTGCCCCTTTACTTCTCTGTGTCCATGTAGGAGTGGAGAAAGGAACACAGAAAGCACTCGATTTTTTAAAAAACCACAAGTACCACCAGGGTACTTTACAGGCACTGAGGAAGGGCCTTGCAGGCAACCACACCGACCACCCTGAGCTCGACAAGACAGCTGATGAGGTGGGGCTTTGCCACAGAAAGTATGCATTACACACAGAGGAACACTGACTCAATCAAGAGCATCTTCTGGCAGGTTTGAACAACGCTCTTGTCCAAGATCCTTCAGAGCAGCTGCCAGCTGCTTTGTCACTTCAGATGTTGTTGGACTCCAACCCCATCATCCCTGACTACTGGCTGGAGCTAATGGGACTTAGGGCTCCACCGCATCTGGATGGGAACAAGCCCCCTATCTCTGCTGCAGCCTGTGCAGAGCAGTACAGACCACAATGGGACTGCAGCTCTGCATGCAAAAGCTCTGGGTTCAAAGCCAATTTCAATTTCTGGCACTGCCAGTTGTAATCTTATGCACGTTTGAATCAATTAAAAAGGCCTACAATTCCCAGGAAAGCCCAGGCAGTATTGCTGAGCTTAGCTAGATGGACAAGTTCCTCAGTTCCTAAAACAGGCTATGAAAAACGGCATCATGCATGTGTGATGACTGCAGGATAACAGTGTGGGGGCTGTCAGGGTTGTCCTTGCTCTGCTCAACCCCTGCCCTACAGAAAGGAGAGGAGCAGCACTGCGCAGCTGATTCCCACCCTCTTCTAGGAGGTGGTTCTGGTTTCCACTCAGCCATGGAGTTCACCAGCACTGGGCTGGTGACTGGGAGACTAAGGCCATCGTGCCCACCAGGCCATGAAGGCACTGCACGATGCTGGGCCAGTGGCTGACTCTCAGCCTCCCCTACCTCACAGGATTAGTGTGCACATAAAATGGAGAGAATTAGGTAAACAACCCTGAGCTCCTTGCAGGACAAAAGAGGCAGAATATTCATTTAATACATAAAATTAAGTGAGCAATCCCTAGCTTTTCCATGTAGGCCTGGACAAGACCCCGGTGGGAACACTGGGATTGCTATTGCCAGTCAGTGTAAACAATATTGAACCAGACAAACATGTCATGAACAGAGCTGGCTGGGGGATCAGACTAGATGGTCCGGGAGACCCTTTCCGACTCGCTCAGTTTCTATGTTTCTAAACACAGGGCGAGATTTGGTGCATTTGAGGGGTAGCTGCTGGACTGTACTGGTGAAGCTAATGCTTTCCATGCAGGAAGCTCCCAGGGTTAGAGCCAGCATCTCCAATTACAGATAAGAAAAAACACCTGCCTGAAGCTCCTGGAGAAAGACTACCAAGTCAGTGCTGGTAATAGAGGCATAGCAAGGCAGAACAACCGTCTGACTATTTATGAAGCAACTTCCCTTGGGCGGCAGAAGTTTTGCAGAATTCCAGCCAGTATTCTGATGCCCGCAGGATGTGCCGAGGTAGAATGCCCAGAGCCCAAGTTGCTTTCCTCCAGGTGTGCTGAATTATCGCTCCCAAAACCCCCAGCTAGTTGCGCATCCCACGTGTGCTGAACCACAACTCCCAGAATCCCCAGCCCGTTGCCCCTTCGCAGGTGTGCTGGATTACAGCTCCCCAAATCCCCCAGCCAGCAACCTGCTGCTCCGCAGGTATGCTGAACTAGAACCCCAGAATCCCCGCCAGGCAGCGACCCGCTGCAAAGCTAGCTGGGGGTTCTGGGACCTGTAGTCCAGGCATCGAGATGGCACCCGCTGGAAGGAGCCAAGGGCTGCTCAGAATAATTTGCTTTCGAGGCTCCCGGGTGGGCGCATGCGGTCCTCTTAAGGCGCCCACTCGCCACTTCAAGGAGCTCCTTCGAGCCGGGATCGCATCTCTGGTCCGTGCCCCACAATAACCGGGCAGAAAGCGAAGCGCCCCCACCTCAGGCGGCCACGACTCCTTCGCCTTCGCCTTCCCCACCCCGCCCCACAGGCACCCATACAGGTGGCCCTCCAGAATGAGGGGACCCAACGACCCCGCCGCGGCTTCTCCAGCGCCCCCGTCCAGACGCGCCTTCCCACCGTCCCCCAAAAGACCCCGCCCCAAAGAAAACAGCCCAAAAGGCAGCCTCCCCTCAGGCGGCTGCCACCGCCCCCCGCACGTACCGTCCGCCATGTTGCCCGGCCGCTGCCTCGGACGAGCTCCCGCGAGATCTGAGGCGAGGCGGGGGAGCGGGAGAAGAGGAGGGAGCCGCGCAGGCGCAGTAGGCGCGCCCGGCCGCGGCCTTTGCAGAAGATGGGGGGGGCTCGCGGGGCGGGGCTTAGCTGGCGGGGCGGGGCGGGGCGGGGCCTGGGGGCAGTTTAGGGCGGCTCTGCTCGCGACTCAAATCGCTCTTCAGACTTTCCCGCTGAAGTGTGTGAGCGCGTGAAGAGTGCTCGCTGCCTGTGCAGCAGAAGCTCGCACGCTGTTATCACAACGACTACATTTGTGTCCGGCTTTGTTTCTTCTCTCAAGGAACCAAACCCTTTTCCTCCTCCGCGTTTTATCCTCGCAGCAACAACCCTGTGAGGTGGGCCAGGCTGAGAGTCCGTGATTGACCCCCAAGTAACCCAGTGCACTTAGCAGACTCACTTAACCACTGCACCTCTTTGATTCTCAGTCGTGCAAGTCTTTCTTGAGCATGTCCTGAATCTTCTTAATTCTTAATTAAAACAGACATGTATGAAGTGTCTTTATTGGCCCAAGCAAAGGTTTCTTTTAAGGGTCCAATGAACCAAGTGCCAATCCCCAGAGCAGATGATATTTTGCAAAGCAGACCACCGAGCAAATTGTCTCTCAAGTGTGCTGGGTGGGAGGGTTGTTTTTGCTTGAGGAGAATAAAGGGGGATCGATCCAGTGATGGGCTTAATACGACATTCATCTGAGTACATATCAAGCGTTTTTAAATTAGTTTTAAGTGGAACGATTTGTGTGGGAATGTGTTCCCAAAGCCCACTGCCCTTGTGACAAGCATTGCAAGAAAATCGTACTTTTCAGCAGGGTATACTTTATATTTGCATCTTAAACCATTCTGTAGAAAGGTTTAAGGATCCCACAGTTCGTTTTTTCTAGCTTAAGGAGGTCACATTCTGGCGAAAGCTCAGAAGATTTTAACCAGGCTAGTAAATTCTGCTCAGTTGACTGGCAACCTTACATATTCTGGAAGCATTGTGATCTCCCATAGAGTTCACCATTCATAATGCAGGTGAGGAATGAGAATGGCTGGAAACCATGCCTTGAACATTTACAGAGAGCCTTTTCTTTACCCCAAGGCAATCCTGCTTGGAATCCAGACAGTATGACATCCCATAAAATGTGGTCCTACACCTCTCCAAGTTAGAAATAGATACCCATTGATGCCTATGGGGTGAGTCACTGGACAGGTTTGCAGCCTACAGTCACAACCTGGCAAATGTACTGGGGAAAAAACCATCCTTGTGCATCAGATTTGCTGTGCCGTGTGTTGCCGCCTCAGCCACAATTCCACTGGGCACAAACTTCATGTCCATTCAGGCAAACGTTTAGCTTCCTTTCATGAGCGTGTGGATTGTTATTTCAGGTTGCTGAATGTGGTGCTTTGTCAAATGAGGATACAAAGCTGACTTGTAGCAACAGAAAAGGCCTGCTGGATCAGGTAAATCAGAGAAACAGAATGCCCGTGCTCCAGCATTCTGTTCACACCGTGGCCAGGCCGATTCCTGCAGGAAAGCCACAAAAAGGAAATGCTTCCACACAGCTGGTCTGTGTAAACAAGCTGATCCTGCAGGTAGCAGGTAGGCATGAGGACTAGGCACCATGGATGGCCTTTTCCTCCATGAATTTATCCAATCCCCCTTTAAAAGCCGTCCACATTTATAACTATCCCTACATGTTGAACTGAATTCCATATTACTTGCTATGTGAACAAGTTCTGACTTTTAGTTGTCCCACTCAGCTTCATGAGATCACCCCCTCAACAACCTGTCTTACAAGAGGGCAAAAAATGTTTCCTTATCCACATCGTGTATATTTTTGTACATTCCCATTATGTGCTCGTTAAACATTTTGCTAGGCTATACAATCTCAGCAGCACCCCCTTGATCGTTTTAGTTGCCCTTTTTTGACACTATCTATTTGGCTTGAGGGTAGCTGTTCATTTTTTCTCCAGCCCTCCCAGCTGAGATCCTTCAACTGGAAGTAAGATCCGGCCATATCAATCCTGTTGGAGCAAAATCACGGAGAGTCTTATGGCGCCTGAACAGCAACCACATATTTTAAGGCCGAGATTTCTGTTGACTACAGCCTGTTTCATCCGTAAGTTACACATGCATGCCCAGGCACACAAACAATGCGCTGGGGTAGGTGGGACTGAAATGAAGTCACGAAAAAAACGAAATACAAGAAGCTCATTAAGCAAGTCATTATCTTATTAACAGAAGCAATTCCTAAAACTGCTGTTGGGGATAACAGGTTTGTACTGGTGAACTGCTTAACCCATGTAGTGTTGTTAAAAGTTATCTCTGAACTTTAAAGACATTTTTAAACTCTGTGTGAGAAAGAAGTCTGCATACTGAGGATGTTATCTTCCATGGAAAACCTGTGTTTTTAATATGTGCCAGAACCCCAGGAAGGTCTGCACCTGTCTTCATTTGTAAGGGTAGGGAGGCCCAGAACAGGAATTAGTAATACTAAGTGAAAAATACAACCCCCCCCACTCCACTTTGGTTCTTAGCTTTTTAAAATTGGCACAATTGCTTTATGTCAGCTTTTTACCAAGAAAGGCCTCGATCGCCTTTGTTTTACTAATTGATGGTTTCCTGTTTGTATTGTTTTTTGCTTCAACAAAATGGCTAAAATGTTAACTAAGTTTTGTTTGTAACTGTCTGAATAAACTGTACTTTTAATATGTCAAACAACGTTATTCAAACTAAATTATACATTTTCAAATTCCTCAAGGTAACATGACTTTCAATTTGCAAAATGGTACAAATAATGCTTGTTCTTCTTTTTTTGGGGGGGGAATGTCCATACTCCCCCCCCCCCAAAAAAAAAAAAAGAACCAGGGTGAAGGGGTTTTTTTTCTGTGTCTTCAAGATTTTCGGGAATGTTACACATATGCTCCTAAGACTTGTTTCACTGGGGACCTAAGCAGACGGTTCTGTCTTCCTGTTCTCAGGCAGGCTGGAAAAGACCCAAGCCCTTTGATTGGTTTTAAAGGTTCTGCCATTTGATTAAGATCTGACTGGTGGGACAGAATCTTCTCCATGGTGGCACCACTGTCCTGGAACTTCGTGGGAACCTCCAAAAAGCCACTGCAGTTGCTTTTATCACTATTTGCCATGGAAACCTAAAGTTGGAAGCAGCCACTGAGTCCAGTGCTCAGTGCAGTGTTGGGAGAACCCACTACCTCCTTAGACAGTTGGGTCTATGATCTAACCATTAGGCAGCTTTTCATGAAACATAACCAGTTCCTCCAATCTTTCTTTCAGAACCTTGTTTCTAGTTCCCTAAACATCTTTGTTGTCTTACTCGGAATTTATCTGAATCCTCCTTGGAATTGGACATTCAGAATTGGACAGACTCAGGGTCCAACCAGAAAAGAATGGAATTATTACTTCCCATAATTTCCAAGCTATACTTCCAGATATTTTTGAAAGGCAGCTTGCAAATTAATAGAAGAAATGTGCATGAGATTTCTGGTCCAGCCTGAATTCAGTCGGGTCTAAATATATTTTGCACCTGGGGGTAGGTGACTCTGCAGGGACAGTCTCCCAGCAAGGCAAGATCACCTTCATCAGCATCCCAATTAATTCACCCCATGAATTAACTCTCAAACATTTCCTGGGGAAGGAATGGATGAGACACCTCCATGCCTCCAAGAGACAAGGTCAACTGTTCCTATCTGGGACTCTCTCACAGTAGCCCTTTAAGCAGTGAAATATATCTAAAACAACAATAATTAAAGCAGCCATGGCAACCCAGATTTAAGTAGCCATGTAATGCCAATGGGAGCAGGGATGAAAGCTGTAAAAGCAAACTTGGGACTAGAGCAAAATGAGGTATTTAGCACTAGATTAATTTTCCATTTAGCCTCCTACAAAGTCAGGACAGAAGTATACAGGAGGATGCCATTTAATTTGCCTGAAGAGAAAAATTAAAGGCATAAAACAGCACACAAAAATTCAGGTTTTTCAGAAAGGCCAGAGAGTATGATAGTAACCACCACGAATTTTAATATTGTCTAACCTCTTCCACAATAGGAATAAGCAGTGAAGTGGTAGTGTTTGCTGATGACACCAGCAAGCTATTTAGGGTGGTTAAAACCAAAAGGGACTGTGAAGAGCTGCAAAGGGCTGGGAGAATGAACCGACATCAAAATGACAAATGCAATTCAGTGTAATGCGCATGTTTGGGCGAAAATTCCCAAGTTCAAATATAGAAGGGGTGGGATCTGAGCTAGGAATGATTGGGTCCAGAAAGGGACGGTTGGTGGGTGGGTGGGGGTGGACTGCTCAATGAAAAAGCAGAGCCCATGAGCCATTCCTGTGAAAAACACAACCCCCACATTAGGCATAATTAGGAAAGGGGTGACAACTGCAAAGATCATACTACCTGTGTATAAATTTTTGGTGGGACTGCACTTAGTAAGTCCTCCTATGAGGAATGTTGGAACAACTGGTTTTGTTTAAGCTTAGAAGAAAGGTAGGCATAGGCAGACATGACAGAGGTGTTTAAAATTATGCACAGTGCAAAGAAAGTGGGGAGACGCCTTTCTCCTTCATTCATAGCACTAGAAATGTGGGTCATCCCAGGAAGCTAATTGTTGGGTGATTCTGGACAGAGAGTATCATTAAACTCACTGCCACAGGTAGTCCTGATGGCCAATTTGGAGGGCTTTAAGAGGACTGGTCAAATTAAGGGAGGCAGTCAATATAGCCTTGTTGGCTACAGTTGCCGAGGAGCTTGGGCAGATGGAACTCTTGCACCCATCCTGCTCACGGGATCCTATGGCATTTGCTTTGCTGCTACATGGACAGAGGGCTGGACTGGATGGACCACTCATCTGATCTGGCATGGCTCTTAATGCAATCAGGCTCTTAGCATCATCCAAGACGACATAAAAATCCTCCCTTTCAAACTGCCATCACCCCAGTGCAATTTATGGACAAGGGAAGCAAATGCTTTGTGTTGTAGCAAGCTGGGGGACCTTATTAATTCCATGTCCAGCTGGCTGCCTTTTGGATCACAATAGCTGTCCTAGAAACTCTGGGATATTTCCCTCCAGATTTTAATTATGAAATGGATGGGCAGAATGCACGACACTCCCCCCGCCTCGCTGCCCCTCTCCTTGTCTTATACAGGCAGAAGAGCACAAACGTTAGCCAGCTGGCTAGCGAGGAATCTCCTCCCCCACCTCAACAGGAGCCAAGCGAACTTGGTCCTTGTTAGAGCAATTGTCCAAATCCAGCTATTGTGTCTGGGCATGGACAGCTCAGAAGCAGCAAATCTAGTTGTCTTCCTAAAGGAAGAAACACAATTAAGTAGCATTTCCAATTCAGGGCAGCTTAGAGTAACACGGGCTGCCACATGGATCCAGAAAAATGGAACAAAACATTGCTGCTTTTAAATAAATACTAGAGACAAGAAGCTGCTACATCTAATTTCAGATTTTATTTAATTGGCTTGCACCAATGGTGGGTCCCCTGGCATTTGTAATTGGTTCACTCTTTTGCCTCTCAAACACGCGTTTTTCTTTGTGCTTGCTTGACTGAAATGGCAGCCCTGCAGTGACATAACCCGGGCCATCTGCATGCACCCTCGTGCGCACAAGAGCATGTGCTTTACACACAGTGGCCAAGAATCAGTTCCGACCCAACCCTATGCAATTAGCTGCATAGTCAAGGAGGGCTCCAGGAGACCCATTCAGCTCCATCCCTTTGCTACACTAAAAGATGTTGCTTTCCACCAGAAATATATTTACATGGCTTAAAGTCCTCACGCTTTAAAGTGAGGGCTGTTGATGTTTTGTCAAGGAACAATAGCAAGATAAAAGACACGTGTTTCCCCCCCTTTTTTAATGCCATGTAGCTCATTTAAAGTGCCACCTCCCCGCCCCCCACACACACACCAGAGGGACATTGCTGCTATTCCTTTGTGGATTCAAACATACAGCAAGGAGCTTGCCTCTAGCCTTGGCTTTGAAGCAGGGGCTATGGAAGGCTGTAAACAGCCAGAGACGTGAGGGGGTATGCACACACAGAAACCAAGAAGGCCTAAAGCAACAATCTTCAGTGTATGTAACATTAGAAGATTAAAATGCTTCTAATGAAGAGATTACAGGCCGCTGGATTACTGGACGGGCAAGGAGCTCCCTCCTTATACGAGTACAGTGTGTCCCGGCAGCTTGCGGCAGTCTTCTCTCATTCCCACCCTTCAGCAATATGCACACTTTATTCCTGCACAACCAGCGATTCCACCATTGGCTTGTTCCACTTCGGCTCACAGGACCAGCTAACTTCCAAGAGGCAGCCCCTTAGCAGATTAGCTGCAACAACATTCAATGCATTTTTGTTTTATGACATTTATACTCCTCCAAAGAGGTTCTTCCTTTTTTTCAAGAGAGAGATTGTTTAGGGCTACTTTACACATTATACATGGAGATTCGCAGAACTCATCAAGTGGTCTTTGAACAAAGCAGACAAGTCAATTCCACACCATGTAAGTCATCTGTCGATGGAGACCCATGAACGAGTAACTGCCAATCCAGGTGGGCCAACAGCCTTCAGTTTAAGGGTCTCTGAAACTGTGTTCTCATTTTGATGTTGCAGACAGCCAACTTGACACCAAGCTATTGGAAAAATTTATATTTTGGAAGAACTCACTACAGAAGGTGACAGAATTCCAAAATCAAGTTACATGAAAATATACATCGCAATTTCTCTTTGTACATTAAGTGAGGAAAATCTGCAGGAGATTAGAAGGCAAAGGATGAAGGAAAAGAGAGAAATGTGAGAAGAGAGTGAAAGGTGGGGAGACAGCATTTGATAGCAAAACCAGAACTCACTTGAAAGCCTACAGTTCTGCATGCTTTTATTTATCCAACTTCAAACCAGCAAGAAATAAAAAAGCAGATCAACCTACACTGGCTAACTTAAGCTGACCACTTCCAAAGCTCTCAGCCCTTTTGGGAAAGGTGCCAGGCTCAAGGATGCCCTACAGCTGTTATGCCTTATTGCTGCATCCAAGGCAAGGGACGAGCACAGCTGAGTAATAACATAAAGGAAACAAATGCACCGCCTGCTGACAGTCTCAAGTTGTGTTAGAATCAAGTAATAGATCAGTGTTTTACTAATGTAATCTGAAAAAGTAGAGGGAAAGGGAGTTATAAAGGTATTAAACTTTATTAAAGTCAGATGATGCTCCAATGGCTGAAAAAAAAGTTAAAATGGAATTTTTAATCCTAATTTGTTTTAGTCTGACATGCTTCACGAGAAATTTTAAAGACTTACAAGAAAAATGTGAATTGGGAGTGGGGATGGGGGAAGAAAAGGAAAACCTGCTAAAAATCTGTAGAATTTACACGATTCTTATTCTAACTACAAGACAGCATTATTATTTGGTACAATGTGTATTTGTGGATGTACATGAACAGTATATATATTATCCGGATCATGTTGTGCTATGTACACATCTTTACAACTCTTCCTGAAGGTTAAAGCAGTTCCATTAGTTTTCAAAATGCGCAAATCCTTGTTGGCACATATTAGGCTTTCTGTCAGCATTAATAACTGGCATGTTTTATTGCAGCCCAGTTCCAGCCAGTGTCTGCCAACGTGGTATAAACAGAAGTCCAGCAATAGGTGGGTAGAGTGCAGGAAAAACAGTGCCATGTTCCTCAATTGAAGACCTTCGAAGGCAAGCAAAGAGAATCATCAGTGATCTTCAACACTACAGAAGTACAGCAGATCCCCAAATATTTCTCCACACTGAGCTCTTCACAAAAATGTTCCAGGAAGATTCGCGCATTTTCAAACAGCAGCTGACTCCCAGTGCCAGCACCTGGACTGCTGCTCAGTGTCCCCCACCCAGTTTCCTTTCCAGGTGGTCTCCAGGGATCAGTCTTACAGGACGCATAGAGCTGGGATACTAGTATGCTGCGTGTCTTTTGAAGCTGAGTATCTAAGGAAGACATGTACACTTTAACTGCTGTTCTTGCAAACTAAGAACTACCAGAGGCGTGTTGACAAGCGCTCCTTCTGCCAGCTCCATTTATAGCACAATCATATAGCCGTGCCCCCTCTGCCACAGACTTGAGCATTACGCTTGCAGAACAGCCCTGATGTAATACACCAGAATGTTCACTTTGCACAGAACTCCTCAAAACTGCATCGTTGGGGGGGCAAAGGGTTTCAGACAGAACACCAACGCTTTCCTCAGAAACAGAAGTGTTGGTGGCCACTTCTGATAGAGGGCGGCTTAGGCAAGGAAGCAGCGCTCAATACGCAATACTCTTCGCTCAATTAATTGGAGGTGTGGGAAGGTCTCTGTTGAAGGAAGGCGGGAGAAAAAGGGAGTCACAGCCACAACAACACTTTCCCATTATTCCTGCTGAACGTGTCTGTGTCACCTCAGAGGCTTATATAGTTTGATTCAGCAGAGTTGTTGCTAAACAGTGCATCTTGACCTATTTACAGCAAAAATGGAAAAGAGAGTGCTTCCGCTGTGCGATGGTAGGTAGGTAGGTAAGTAGGTAGAGATATAGATATATAAATGGCTTTCATACACAGGATGAGGCGTGTCAAAGCTTTGGGACAGTGCTTGCTAAGACTAAGAACACTGTAACCTTCACTGTCAAACCAGCTCAATTGCAGATTATGGCAGGTTTTCTTTTTTCCAGCAGCTACTAAAATTAAGCATCCCAGAACTACCCCCCAGTAAGTTGGAGTACAATATCATGCCAAAGTCCAGCAGCTTCAACAGCAAGCCAGGTGCATAACAGGAAATCACAATTGCTATTATGGTCTTGTTCTTTTAAGTTAATGCTTGTGTCTGTGTCTTTAATTTGTGTTTAATTGTTATTTTTGTTAACCGTCCAGAAACTGTTGGCTATTGGGCAGGATTAGAATGAAATTAATAAATCTGACTGTAATTAAGCATTCCTTAACAGTCCCCCCTCCACCCAATCATGCCAGCCTGCTATGAAGTGTGCGGGCTAAAGAAGGGCGATTACTTTTGAATGCACCACACTCTCTGGTTAAAGAAAGCTCACCTGCATGCTCCACTCAGTTACCCACATGCAGGTGCATCTTGACTGGGTGACTGAAAGGTGACCCACCTGGCCCTCCCACTTATATCCGACACGCCACACATCCGCCCCTGAACCAGCTCAGTGTCTGAGGGAGCCCAGCAGCTCTGCCTGAAGCATTTAAACAAGCGGAATGGGATATTCACCCGTTGGATGTGAGAGGCGGGTGCCCACGCACAGCCAAGCGAAGGCATAGCTACCAAACATGGCTACTACTTCCAAGCTATTCGGTTTTTGGAGTCAGCCAACACCAGCAAGATGCTTGGGACGGTATCTACTACAGGATTACTATTAGCTGTAACTGCAAATACTATGGACATATACAAGCAGTAAGGCCTTTTCCCCCCCCTACCAACCCTGGGACCAAATATTGAAACACATATTCCATTCTCATGCTAGTAGCATTCTGCAATACAGAGTATCATGACATTTCCCTAAGAGGCTTCCACTGACATCTTCCAGGCACCCACGGATTACAAGTTCGAGAAAAGAGGTCCTACTCCCCTTCCATGGAGCCCCCGGTGGTATCACACGGATGGAAGTTATCCTACAGTGCTGCTGTATCACCTCCTCCAAATCCATTCACTGCCCTCAAACAGGACCCTTACTTACTCAAAATCAATGCCAATAGTAAGGATGTACTGTCTTTGGGAGTTTTGAAATAGAGGTGCGAGGACTCATATAGTTGGGGCTATGTTGAGTATCTTTCAGGTTACTTCCAGGTACACACACAGGATCTGGGCAGTTAACATAATCAACACCTCAACCATCACCTCCTCCTGAGTCACTGCTTTCACTCAGCCGGTCTGTGCAATGTTAAACCACTAGTTTTATTCTGCTATTCCTCTTGGCAGCTGAGGGCGATACACAAAACTCTGCCGTCTCAAGTGTCTCGTGGCTGACAAGAATTTAGATCTGGCCAAAGTATGGCATACTACCAACTACACTTACTCCTGGTCTTCCTCAGATTTTCCAGGGACCATGTGACATGTGCTGTAGAGATGGAGACTCCAACACAATAAAGCGAGCTTGAGTGCTACATATAAGCGGCTCTGAAGTCAAGAGCTCGTCTTCTAATTTTGTTTCTGGCTGGAGTCCCTACTTCATAGCAGGCTGAGTTTATATATAAAATGTAGTCTCAACACCATCAACAGATTCTGCCCTAGAGGAATAGTGAGTGCAGGACATCAAGTCGGCTCAATTAACGCAGAAGACGGTGGAAACACGCAGTTGTGTTCCGTGAAAGCTCACCCAATGCATGGAGCATTTGGCATATAATGCTAATATTTGCCTCGTGGTTCCTCCCATTCAAAATTTGCTGCAAATTAAAGAACGACTTACCCTGAAAAACGTGAAGCTACTAGCTGCTGAAGTAAGTGTTACTCAAAAGCAGTCTCTTGGCTTTTTCTTACACAGCGGGCAACTTTCCTTTTGAATTCTCCATTTCTATCTTCCCTCCATTCTTTCTGCAAATTGAAATCTAGATTTCAAGTTACGCCAACACATTTCTTTTCCTTAACTACTCAGAATTCAGTGCAGAGTGCTATAAAATTGCTTGCCTGTTCTTCTCAATGAGTTTCTGATGCTTGGCATTAAAGCAGAGCCTTCCAGTCATCAAGCACAGTTTAATCTGTAGCAAGTGCTCTTGGGGGCTCTTTTTTAAAAATGACAATCCTCTGTTGTCCTTGGAGTGAAAGGATGTCCTTCATTCTGCAGCCCAAGATTAGAACTGTGCGTATATTCTGTGCCCATCTAAGTCATAATCTGTATCAAATTCTGCACCTAAATTAAGCAGGAGTGCATGGTCTCTCTGCTTCCTCCTGTTATCAGGTCAGACAAAACACTGAAAGTTCACCTTTTTGGACCAGCTTCCACCCATTTCAGAGGATTTGCTAGCCATCGTCTACATTTACAGGCCCAAATTAGGCATCGAGGATGAGAAAATCTATCCCAGGGTACCAAGGTTCTACCTGAGATATCCTATTCTATGCAATAGAATTGTTTGCAGTGCAAGCAAGCAGAACTGGGCAGGCTACATATGCAGAGTGGACATGACTGCCCTATCAATCGTGAACTAGGTGTGCATCTCTCTCACATACACAGAGATGTATCTGTGCTCCCCAAGGACCTGACGCTGCTCCCAACAGCAAGGCTGGGAAAAGATTTGCAAGCCATGCGAGTCATACCGCTGCATCCACGTTCGCAGGAGAGTCACCATTGGGATCTGCCAGCATAGAAATTACACTAATCATTATGGTTTCCACAGTATGGATGGGTAGCCAGCGTTCTTCAGGCTTCTCATATCCGTATTTGTCTTCACCAGGCTCATGAAGGATGGAAATACAGACATCCCCATTTTTGTCAACTACCAAAAAGGAACAAAGAGGAAGATTTCAGAGGCACAACACTGTAGGAAAGGCCCTGCCTTGAGTTAATAGACTGAAGGGGCCTGGGGGAGAACATTCTGTTATAACCCTCAGATCCATTTGGATCATGCTCTGCTACTCTTACCGAAGATAAAAGCGGTAAGAAATGGTATTTTATTGGTTTTTGTATCATGTACACCACCCAGAGATCTTGGGCTATGAGCCATATAGAAATGAAACAAATATCTTTATTTGAGAAGTGAGGTATAAATGCTGCAAAGAAATTTTTTTTATACTATGCTTACTTGGGGTTAATTATGTCTGCAAACGTAGAGATGGCCCAAGAGAGAGGAGCCACACAAGAGATGCATGTTAAACCTTGTGCTATTTTGCAGGTCGGGATTAAAGACTGGTCCTGGGTCTTTAACGCTGCTGTCTAGAGCACTACAGAACAACAAGCCAAAAGTTTCCAAAACATGACCTAAACATGCTTTCCAAGAAAAAAAAAGAGCACAAGATTGATGTGGCCTTTTCCCAGAAATGCATCCGATGACTCCAAGCCTTATTAATTTGATAAAAACAGATTGGCTTGAAGAGGCTTATGTAACATTTTAAAGGGGTGGCAATATAGATTCATTAAAAAACTCCTATTTTCAGTCCAGTGGACCATTATTGATCAGGATGGTTGCTTTTGATTTTGGTCGGGAAATACAATGATAAAATAATTACATTATTCATGACTATGGGCCTAACAATAATCCAAAAGACGTTCCATGGAAGTTGCAGCAAACTGCTTTTTATTGCTTATGCTCATCTTATTCTGGGGAGAGATTTAAACAAAATCTTAGATCCTTTGCTAGGCAGGAAAACCCCAGCCACAAAAAGGCAAAGAAAAGTGCAAGTCACATTTGAAGTAGGCCTGGCTGATTCTTGGAGAATTTTGCACCCAGATGGCAGGAAGTATACATGCATGTCACTTATCCATCTTAATCGCTTTCCAGTTAGACTTCTTTATGGTTTCTGCACTCGAGACATTTAATTAATGCCTCTAAGACAGAAATGTTGGTAATTTCAGATCACATCCGAGTCCACTTGGAGCTGCGGTTTTTACATTTACCAAAGCCATCTGCCTTTCCAACATTTTAATTTTTCCTTGCTTAAAAATGAGTCACTGAAAAACAGATTTTGCTGAATTCTGTATTTTGACATTAGTAAAAGTATAGTAGGTTTTGTGCTTTTGAATGAGAACCCAGTAAAGTCTTTATAAAAGACAGTATCATTGCCTGCACTTCAAATAAAAGCAGAAGCAAAAAAATTCAACAAGTGAGAAGTTGACATCTCTTACAGCCAGGTTTGCCATTGCCCCTACTACACAACAGATATTGCAGAGGGTTAAGTGTGAGTTGAGTTGAATAATACTCTCTTATATCAAGTGGAATTTGCTTTAATACATTTCCTCCAGGCTTAATGAGAATCCATCTATTGATGGAGCAGCATACAAATACTGTAAATAAATATTTTAAAAGTGCCAAAAATCCTCCTAAGATTTTGGCTTACAAGCTCAAGCAGAAAAAGCACAAAAAATGTTATGCCAGCTATTAAGGATGAGACCAAAAAAGCACACACTTCACCTAAAGATACCAATTTCAGAAGTTTTAAAAATTCTACCCTGAATTGTCCAGGGGGACATCAGAACAGGATACAGATTCTTCTTCTTCATGTTAGTTTTCTATATTTAAATTCAGTAAGTTTCTTTTGGGTCTCTTGCACACTGAGGAAACCACGAAATAATATCACTACCTGTAAGCCACCTGGGCTGTACAATTTTCCATATGAATGGTATAAAACAGGCTTCTCCAACCTTGTGCCTTCCAGACACATTTGGACAGCAACACCCAGAATTCCCAGTCAATGGCCCTGCTGGATGGGAATTCTGGGAGTTGCAGTCCAAATGCCTCTGAAGGCCACCAAGTTGGGGAAGACTGATATTTGAGTCTGTTAGTCCCTAAGCTTTACTGCTGTTATAATTATACTTTTGAATTGGATTCCCCCTCATCTTCACTTAGTGATGCTTGTCATCACTGTGATTCCCAAATCTGGCGAGGATTACATTCAGTGTGCCAATTATTGATGCTGGCATTAAAATACTGAGAGTGACTCCAGCTGCTAGATTGCAACAGGTTATCCAAACTTTGGTCCAACCAGATCAGGCAGAGCTTATAAAAAATTGACAGGGGGCTGATACTCTGACATTAGTAGTGCATTTGATAACTTGCAAAATGGCAATTTTCATGCTATCCTTACCATTTTACAGATTTGGGAATCTTATTCCCAGAGAATAAGATTCTCTCTCAAATGATGACTGGTTAGTTAAATTTTGGCAAACTGATTAATGAATCTCTGTGTGGTTTGGATAAATAGGCATCCTTAAATTTGAATGTGTGAGGCAAGATAAATAGAGTTCAGATAAATATTGTTTGCCAAATTATGTTTTGTATGTGATTCCTTTCTTTCCTTGGCCAATATTTTCAAACACTTAACAGTCCATTTCATAATCTTTATGGGATTTCATTCTGCCACGAAAACCTTTTAAAATGAGGTAAATTCCAGTTAAAGAGGGTGGATCTGGTATCCCTAATCTCAAAGAAATAATTTAAAGGGTCAAACTACTATTACATTTATTTGAAAATTGGAGTATAAATGTGGAAAACAAGTAAAGCTCAATCAGTTGGACAATATGGATGGAATTCCCCCAACCATGTCCAATACATCACTCACTTTGCTACATTAGAATGCAAGCAGTTTTCCCCACACTACTAAAGGAATCCCTAACACTTTGTCCCAAATCACGTAATTTCCCTCTATTCTTAACAAGTGTTAGTCTGAATGCACTGGGCTGAATCTCATGGACCTGCCCATGATAGGAGGTGGGTGGAACTGAATTCCCTTTTCTCTCCTTTCCCCCTAAACTCCCAGGATGCCCTGAGAATACTCCCTGAGGTATTCTGTTGGCTGAATTGGGCAGCGGTGGACAAGTGGCTTGGACATCTAAAGTGAATGAAAGCCATGCTTCTTTCTAGTTTGACAACCCCCTGCCCCAAATGGCTCTGAACTCAGTTGAGATTAATTCTAGAGATAAGGAAGAACATTACATTTTACACATAGCCTAGTATCTTACCATTTGGGTGCCATATTTCTGTGATAAACTTCATTTTTGGTGGCCTGAGTGGATAGTCCTTTGGGAAAGTAAGGTGAGCCTTGAAGACACCGCCTTCACTGGAAAAATTAAGAAAATTCTCAGTTAATAGCTATTAGAAGCTGCAAAGCTTTACAGTCTGACAGGAGTCTTCTTTTAGAGCACTGCTAGTAGGAACTGCATGAAAACGACTGATTAAATGGCTAAGGAAAGAATGTGTTTGGCAGGTCAGTGCCTATTCTGGGGTTTCAGCATTAATGCTTATACCCAGGATGCATTACCAGATTAATTAATCCCTTGAACTGGTTCCCAACTCTTTAGTAACTTCCTACCTTGAATCAAGCCTGGAATGTCAAAAGTGATGCATTTAGTTTCAAGTTTATAAGCTTAAAAAACAAACAGATGTTTTTGTGCCATGTGCAGTAAAACCCACTGAAGCAAATCCTACTGGTTTTAAACGAGGTTTAACATTTAGTCTACTAAATTCCAACTCATTTTACTCAGCACTTTTGCTAACTGCATACTTGGCCTAAGGACATTTTAATCTACCCAGGGGAAGTCTTTTGGTACACAAATCATCTTTATCATATGGGTTTACGGATGACAGTGCCTTTCCTTATCTGTACAGGTGAGAAGGTATTTTAAACCACTGGGCCAACTAATGGGCCAAGAAGTACCAGTAGATTATAGGATGGGTGGAACCAGATTCGCTTTAAAAATATTGGGAAGACACTGGAAAGGTTTGAGTGTCTAACTGTCCACCAGTGGAGCACAATCTTCTTTGCTCACCTCCATATCATAAAATAGATGCTCACCAACCTATACAGCAAACCAACCCTATACTGTATAGGACCTGCGCTGCAGAATGCAGACTTCAGCCTCTGTCTTGCAAGTCTTACTTACTTACTTAACTTACTTACTTACTTATTTAGGCAACTTCTATGCCGCCCCATTCGCCGAAGCCTCGGGGCGGCTCACAAACCATAAATAAATAAAATTCAATAAAACAATGTAAATTAACAATATAAATTGTTAAGTCATAGGCCCTGCCTAGCCAAATTAACTCTAGTAATTCTAGTAATTGCCCTCCTGCCTTGGCCAGGTGCCTTGTCAGGCAGAGCGGCCCCAGAGTACAGGCTTAACAAGGAAGATGGATCAAAGGATGAACATGCAGCTGTTCTCCATCTTTGGAGCTACACCTTATCAGGGCTGCTAGCAAGCTTATGCTTCAATGCACAAGGTTATGGTTTACTGTATGATATGCTTATGTCATATCCTCTCATTTCGGAATAAGACCCTTAGTTCAGGAGACTTGACAGGCAAGGATTGGAAATTTCCTTGCATGCTATGCTTTCTGGTTTGCTACTCCTAATTATTTCATGGCACCTGTGTAACGTCCATTCGTTTTAGAACATGTGTCACTGCTGTGTCATTACTCAAGCTATCAAGCTTCCAAAAGCAAGCGTTGATGCATAATTCTTGGAAAGATGTAACCTATATTAGCTGGCTATTTCTGTATTGCTTGGACATCAGGTAATGATACAGCTAACGTGTCTGTAACTTGCTCAATAAAGTCTCCTTGTAAGCAAACCTGGATCCGCCTTATAGAAACACAGAAAACAGAGCGAGTCAGAAGGGGCCTCCTGGGCCATCTAGTCTGACCTCCGGCACCAGCCGGCTCCACTCACAACATGCCCACCATGTGGACGTCCAGCCTATCCTTGAACACCCGCACCGATGGGGCCTCAACGACTTCT